ATACCAGGCATTCCAGGGCCACCCTTGGGACCGCAGTAGCGGATGACAACAACGGTCTTCTCCTCCTTCTTAATTTCTCCACGCTCCAGAGCGGCGATGAAGTCATCCTCACCATCGAACACACGGGCCTTTCCGGTGAAGGTCATGCCCTCCTTACCGGTGATCTTACCGACACTACCACCCGGGGCCAGAGAGCCACGGAGGATCTGAATGTGACCAGTCTCCTTGATAGGGTTGGAGAAGGGGCGGATGATCTTCTGGTCTTCGGGGAAGCCAGGGAGCTTCTCCAGGTTCTGAGCCATGGTCTCACCAGTAACGGTCATACCAGAGCCATCAATAAGACCCTCCTTAAGGAGCAGCTTCAGGAGTGCGGGGGTACCACCGACGGCGTGCAGATCGGCCATGACGTACTTGCCAGAGGGCTTGAGATCAGCCAGGAAGGGGATCCGGTCGGACACGGCCTGGAAGTCATCTATGGTGAGCTTGATGCCGACCGAGTCAGCGATGGCAATCAAGTGCAGCACAGCGTTCGTAGAGCCACCGGTGATGTTGACAACAACCATGGCGTTCTCGAAGGCCTGACGAGTAAGGATATCGCTAGGGCGAATGTCCTCGGCGAGCAGCCTCTTGATGGCACCACCAGCCGCGAGACACTCAACGTACTTTGCCTGGGAGTTGGCCGGGTTGGAAGATGAGCCGGGAAGGGTCATACCCATGGTCTCAATGGCGGAAGCCATGGTGTTGGCAGTGTACATACCACCACAAGCTCCCTCGCCGGGACAGGCGTGGCGGATGACGTCAAAGCGCTGGGGCTCGGTGATCTCCTTGGTAAGGAATTGACCGTAGGCCTGGAAAGCAGATACAATGTCGATATCGGCGTTGTTCTGGGTAGCAGCGCAGCCGGGCTTGATGCTTCCACCGTACACCATCAGACTGGGGCGGTTGATACGGCCCATAGCCATCAGAACACCGGGCATGTTCTTGTCACAACCGGGAATACTGATGTTGGCATCGTACCACTGTCCACCCATCACGGTCTCGACGGAATCGGCAATAAGGTCACGACTCTGCAAAGAGTAACGCATACCGGTGGTACCCATACTGATTGCATCACTGACACCGACGGTGTTGAACTGGAAGCCAATCAAGTCCTGATCCTGGACACCCTGGCGGACCTTGTCGTTCAGGTCAAGCAAATGCATGTTGCAAGGGTTGCCGTTGAACCACACTGATGAAATTCCGACCTGGGCCTTGTTCATATCCGCCTCGTTCAAACCAACTGCGTACAGCATTGCCTGGGAGGCACCCTGCGACTTGGGTTGGGTAATGGCACGGGAGACCTTGTTGAGAACCTTGTCATTCTGGAAGCGAGGGAGAGTGGTTGAGAGAGTCCGACTAGAGAGAGAAGAAAAAAAAGAAGTTAGTAACTAGAGAAGCAATTGACTCAAACCCCCAATTGAATCAACTTACACAGGGTTAGCCCGGGACAAGCTCCGGAGAGCGGTGGGCACACGGGCCCGAGTCTGAGGAAGCATGATGAAATGGAGGTTATCCCAAAATCACCAAGTAGAGCAATACAATTGAAAGTCTGGAGAAGAGAGGGGGACAAGAAATAAAAGGCAGAAGCTCAAGGGAGTGAGTGGGTCCGCCGCTCCGACAATCGCACCGGAGAAGGGCAAAACCTCCCCGCCAATTGGGTCCGCGTCGTTGTCAGCTCGTTACTGGGGGAATGTGCACAATTCAACTTATGTCAGCTGAATGTAGTTATGCTCATTTAGTTAACTATTTATGTATTGTGTATAGTATCTAGTAGCTCCTAGGTAAGTCAAGAACCTTCTCGCTCACATAATTCAAGATCATCTCCCGACTCACAGGCGCAATGCGAGGTACGAAACATTCGCGCATATATCGTTCAACGTCATACTCAACCGCATATCCCATACCACCATGTGCCAGAACTGCCCGCTCACACGCCGTGAAAGCAGCTTCTGCAGCCAAATACTTGGCACTGTTACAAGCGACTCCAATCTCATGGAAAGGCACCGTTCCATCGTTGGTATCATAGAGACGTGCTGCGTGGTAGGTAGCCAGTTTCGCCGCCTCCAGCTTCATGAACGCATCAGCTAGTGGATGCGCCACACCCTGGTTCTGGCCAATTGGCCGTCCAAAGACAACCCGGTCCTTGGCATATTGCGAGGCTTTTTCCAGAGCAGCATAACCAAGACCAAGTGCCTCACCGGCCAGAAGGCATCGCTCCGCGTTCATGCCGTGGAGGATGATTTTGAAGCCTTGGTTCTCCTCGCCAATTAACGTGTTCGCAGGAATCTTATAGTTATCAAAGAAGACCTCGTTCGCATCCACAGCGCGTCCACCCATCTTCTTGATCTTGCGCAGATCCAGACCGGGGTTTTCACGGTCGATATCGATGCAAAACAGGGAGAGACCCTCGCTGGTCTTCTGAACTTCTTCAAGAGGCGTGGTTCGAGCGAGAAGGATCATCTTTGACGCCACTTGTGCGCAGGTAATCCAGATCTTCTGGCCGGTGACCGAATATCCGTCATTGGTCTTTTTAGCCAAGGTCGTGAGCTTCAGTGTCTCAAGGCCGGTGTTTGGCTCGGTGACACCAAAGCATGTACGCCATGTGCCGTTGATAATATTTGGAATCGTAGTCTCGAGCTGTTCCTTGGTGCCAAACTTGGCCAATGGCTGTGTGGCATAAACGTTGGCGTGAATAGCCTGGGCACCGGCCATACCTGCGCCGGATTGTGTAACGGTCTGCATCATCACTGTGGCCTCAGATATACCTGAAAGGAAATTAGCGATATGTATGAGAATAAAACGTCTGCCAACTGTACCTAGACCAGCGCCACCAAGGGATTCGGGTAAAGCAATGCCAAGCCATCCATCTTTAGCCAATGCAGCATGGAATTCCTTTGGATCTTTTTCTTGTTGATCACGCTCCTGCCAATATGTATTCGGGAATTTTGAACAAACATGCGAGATGGCTTCACGGACTGCAAGCTGCTCTTCGGTAAAGCCAGTCATCCCCATAATGCCACGCCGGCCTGAGGTGGAGAATGCCGTGCGAGCTTGATGAAACATTCCAGTCTGACATGAACCTCGCAAAAGTGTAGGCCATTGCGACTGTAGAGCATGTTGGAGTTGTGACCGATACATGGTTGCAATTATTTCTTAATGATTTGGAGAGGCTTCTCGGTTCGGTCGAATATATACCATCTACATCGTTCCCATTCCCATATAGCCGACTCGGCATCTTGGCATTATCGAAGTGCCAACAGTATGTTCCGGTGTACATCCTATTATTGTCTTACTAGCCTATATCTTCTTTATAACTGAGTCCAGAATGTCTGTTAGTTAGTAACAGTCAAAGAGATCCAAACCTTTTGTGACTTTTCTAATCCGAAAATTTCGGAGCCTTCTTCCCTCTTTTACTCCAATGCAGGGACGTGCCGTAGACTAGCGGCGACACAGATGATACTATAGCGCCCTATAACTAGTTCAAAATGAAACAAAGTGTGTAAAGCATAAAAATATCAAAGCCTAGGCTAGAAACGACATGTAGAGAATGGCAACCAACATAAAGCTAACTAGTTACCTAGTTAGTTAACAGGTGTAATTACTTGAGACAGGTTACGAAGACGTATAGGGGCCCGGGGTCAAAACCCCTTTTGGGAGGGGTTTATGCCTGAATGCCTTATTTTAGAACAGCAGAAAGATTAAAATACCTGAATTACTATTACATGCGCCTTAGTAATCCAAGTACCCTGCCCAGGTGATTCTACTGGCAGTTGCAAGTCCAAAAAAATGAAGCTTTTGACCTCCATACAAATCAGGTAGTATCTCTATTTTTTGGACTTGCAACCGCCATGAGATATACATTCAATTCGGATTTACCTTAGATTCAATTCAGATTCAATTCAGATTCAATTCACTTTGGAAGTCCCTATAGAGATACCTAGATTTGTATGGTGGCAGAGCTGAGGTAAGGATATATCACTGCGTATGAGATCACGAAACCAGTATTATGTTATCTTTTGAGTGTTTACATACAACTTGTCATACCATCAAAATGCGTTTTCATTTCCCAGCTCTAAATGGTTAACCATCTGAGACCTGGACAAAGCCCGTGATCCTGCATAGCCACATCTCGATCGCGATGCCAAGCCACGAGTGGCCGAACTCATCGGGCGCACACCCCGGCCAAACAACCAGCCTGACAACGTCATCTCTTCTGGTCGCCATGGGATCCTCGTACTCCACAACATCAGACGATGTCGACTCTATCCAACATGAACCTCCAGCTTCCAATGAAGAAAATCCAATTTACTACCCAAGACACTCAGCAGATGCCGTTGAGAGCTTCAACATTCTCCGACAAAAGCTGCCATCTGAACTCGTCCTGGAGATTCTAGGATTTGCAGAGTATTGGGTGTTATCTGCTGTCTACAGAGAAGATATCGTGGGTTATAGTGAAAATGACTGTCGTGATCGAGTCCCATATTTGCAATCTGAGCCCATCCAAGGCGAGCGATTTCCCGTCCAAGAGATCAAAATCAACATCTGGAGCCATGATCAAGGATGGAGCAGTTATCGCGAAGATCACGGCACATTCATAAACTCGTGGACGTGGTTCGAGCTTGGTATTGAAAGACCACCGGGACGAGATGATATTTCCAAAGGTGAAGATCTACGTCTGGCGACCAATGTCCACGCTGGACGCGAAGCCAGGAACCACCAGATTACGTATTCCAGGAACCAGAAACTCCGCTGGATGGAAAATCTTCAAGCGGGTGATCTGATTTCAATTGTGCCTCGGGCGCGCTTTCCTGGCTGGCGCAATACTGTGGAAAAAGCGTCTATTGAGGTTTACACCAGCCCTGTTTTGTGATGTATTATTCCCCTCTCGGTTCTAAAGCAAGCCTGTATTGTCTAACCCATATAGAGCTGAGTGTACACAACTTTCTCGGTTTTTTTGTGATCTAGCGATTTGTCCCTGGAGACAGAATAGCAGCCACCTCTTCATAACAGAAAATAAGATACCGCCACTCAGAAGAAGCCGACCTAGTCGCATAGAGCTACCCTTCTAAAACCCCCGAATTCCGTATTCACGAATCACGCTTTGGCAGGCTTCACCAATGCCAGCTCCTTCGACACCCTGTGCAGGTGTCTTGATGGTATCGAATAGTTGTGTAGCGTAGGCAGTAACTACACCTACCAGGGCACCGATGCCAAATGTCGTGAACACATTTGCCTTAATGCCCTAGCCTTGGTGGCTTCTTTGACGACGTTGTACGTTCCCATACGAACTGCAGAAGTAGCTGATTGTTTCATCATTGTAGAGACCAGACCGCGATAAAGCTCGGGTATACCATGTCTTGCACTTGAGTTGTATGTATGCTCGATTTACACTGTCGAGCGCCTTTTGCATCGTCAATTAAATATTTAAGGTGTGTCTGAAAAATATTGGGTCAACTGGCCAGAATTTTCTCCATTGATATGTAAAGCAATCCCCGAATGGTCCGCTAAAAAGGGTAACCTTACGGTTGAACATTAGTACCTACCTATGAGAAGGATAAAAGGCGGACTGGAGAGTCCTCTTTTTCGTTATTTTTCCTTTTTTTTTTGAGAACGCAATGGCACATGAAACCAGAAGCACCTTAACCTACTTCTGGTGAACCAAAGCTGGATGCCTTTCATCAAGGGGATTTTGCCTAGTAAGGAGACCCACGATGCTCATGTCGACAGTTGTTAATGCTGATACTCGGTGGTGTGAGTGATGATGAGTGTTGTAGGTTGGCGAGGTTGGCTGTCTCGATTGTGATTGAAGATGTTAGTTATGTTGATTGAGTATCAAGCCAAGATGTTTGGAGGTGTGATGTGGAATAAAGAAAGGAAAACGGAGACTGATATAGAAAGGTGTACCAGGAGGTTATTATATTTTGGCCCATCTGGCCAAGTCTGTCTTTAAAAGTAAATTGTTTATTAGGGACATCTTACGAACAGTATCGTGTGGCCATCCATGCACTAGCGCCTATCAGATATATACCTCGCCTTCATCGCAGTTGGGTTTAATGAGTAAGACTCCAATACTATGTAGGTATTTTCTCTGTGAATGTCCGAGGTTTCACACAGTAAAGCACCCACAACGGGGTTAGATCCTCAGGTTACTGTCTCGGCGATAGCCTCCTTATTGATGAATATGTATATGTAGACTCATGAATGACTAGAGGGAGGAAAAAGTAAGAAGCCTTTTTAACACCCGCGTCTGTAGCCTCCATATAAAGGAAAATAAATTGGAGGCCTGATTTGCAAGGTATAGATATAAACAAAGCAAACAGTAGGTGAAAAATGTATAGAAGCTAAAAGCCATTACCGTTCATTAAATATCCAAGGAGCCAGAAGCTTACTTCGCTAGAGGCTCCACGGTGTAAGCCGCAATAACTCGACTATCATACGTACTAAGCAGGATCCCCAATGTTTCACTTCTTGTCGAATGGTATTCATATCAAAAGCACTCGCCTCTACTCATATGTGAAAGGATTATGTGTTAGTGGTCACTCTGTGCATCGTGGTTACACCAATCTTAGACAGCCCAACACTGACAGCTGCTTTTTCTCATCCTAGTACACTAAGAGGAGCAGCCAAGCGTATTGTTCCTCGGAATCCCCAACAAAAGCCTCCACCGCACTCGTCTCTGAGTCAGAGTTGCGGTTCCAGCTACATATGCGGGGGCCGAAGTGATGTGATATTTCGGCATATATCAGGGTCTCATATGCAGCACTCGCTGGTTTCCAACGCGAGGCTGAATCTAACTTTTTCCACAATCTCAAGACTATGTATGTCCCTGGTACAGCCATATAACCCGTCTTCTCGCAGGAACATGAACAGAGCCTAAGCCCGACTACCACAATGACCAACCCCTGTCTCGCATGGAGGCACCTCTGCCTAGCTGTCCTTTCCGTCTCAACTGCGGTTTGGGGGCTTTCAATTGCGAATCAAACAAATCCCCCTGCCTGTCGTTGCATGCCACAAGACCCTTGCTGGCCCAAAGATTACCAATGGGCCCGATTCAACAAAACCGTGGATGGGAATTTGATTGCAACAGTCCCGATCGCCAGCGTCTGTCACCTCGACTCGTTCACGCCGTACGATCAATCACAATGCGCACAACTCCAGTCCAACTGGGGCTTCCCAGAAACGCACTACGAGAGCTCCTCGTCTATCATGGCGGCCGGATTCACGAATCTAAGCTGCAATCCCTTCTCGTCGAAAACGTCACCCTGCACGATCGGGAACTATGTCCAGTACGCCGTGAACGTGACAGACGTCGCACACATACAGAAAACAATTCATTTTGCAGCTCAACACAACATCCGCCTTGTCATCCGGAATACTGGCCATGACCTACTTGGGAAGTCCACTGGCGCTGGAGGGCTGGCGATTTGGATGCATTACATGAAAGATATTTCTGTGGTGGACTACGTCTCGTCGCACTATTCTGGCAAAGCCATGAAGATGGGAGCTGGGGTTCAAACGTTTGAGGCCAGCGAGGCGGCATATAAAGCTGGACTTGTTGTCGTGGGTGGCAATTGTGCAACGGTTGGACTGGCAGGGGGATATTCCCAAGGCGGCGGTCATGGCCAACTGGTGTCCCATGTGGGGCTCGCTGCTGACCAGGTCCTGGAATGGGAAGTGGTTCTCGCGAACGGGAAGCTAGTGACCGCATCGCCAAAAAATCATCCAGATCTGTACTGGGCACTATCAGGTGGAGGTGGAGGCACTTATGGTGTTGTTGTGTCAATGACAAGCAAAGCTTACCCTGAGCTGCCCACGGCATCGGGTAACCTCTCATTTTCCGACACGGGTGTATCGCGAGATACATTCTTTGCAGCGGTCGCCATGTTTATATCGATTCTTCCGTCGATCGGGGACACTGGAGGTGCAACTGTTTGGTGGTTAACCAACACTACCCTGTCGACAACGCCTACGACCATTCCGGGCGGCACAGCGACAATTTTTAATTCTCTTTTTGCTCCTTTGATTGGATTCCTTCAACAAAACGACATAAAGTACAGTAAGTAGGAAGGATTACACCAAGTTGTAGCGAACACTGACAGTGGGTGAACAGCATATTATGTGGACGATTTCCCTACATACTATGATGCCTACCAAACAATGAGCCCACCGCAGAACATAACGGATCAACTAGCTGGTGGTCGCCTGATTCCAAGATCCGTAGTCCAGGGGAACTTGGCTGATCTAACCACCGTCTTCCGTGATATTGTCGAAAGAAACACCGGATTCCTGATTTCAGGAGTTATGGTCAACTCATCTCGAGTTTCGTATCCCGATAACAGTGTCAACCCAGCCTGGCGAGATGCGTTGATGAATATTGTAATCGGAGCGTGAGTAATTTCCAAGATTTTCCGTCAGAGTTATGTAGACTTTTATTGATATTGAACATTGACTCAGGCCGTTCGACTATACTGAGTGGGAGAGTAATGTCACTCCCCAGCAGGCAATTACCGATGTTCTTGTGCCTACACTGGAAGGGTTGACACCTGGAAGTGGTGCATATCTGAATGAAGCGGACCCTAATCAAATCGATTGGCAACAGGCATTTTATGGAGATAACTATGACAACTTACTAGCCATTAAGAGAAAGTATGATCCTGATAATAGGTTCTACGCTTTGAAGGCTGTAGGTAGTAACGCTTGGAGAGTCACAGACAATGGGCGATTGTGTAAGTCGCAAGGTTACCAGACGGTATGATATCGCAGGAAAAATACGTGTGATGAAGAACAAGGAAACAAGGAGATAACATTGGATGTAATTTATGTGTCTCAGTGCGCTTAAAGCCCAAGTAGATGAGTGCATGCTTGGAGTCCAGCTTGGCGATCGTTGATGAATACATAACCTGGCATCCATTGGAGTTTCATTTGATAAGCAATTTGGTCAAGATATCCCGAGTGTTAAACGTATCAATCACAGGGACCACCATCCCTTCTCAATGATCGTCGCCGCAACTCCCTTCAGAGACGGCCAAAGTGCACTAATCTCGCCTGCTGCGTTGGCTGGAAGCGGTCCGGCCTTCCGGGCATCAACATAGTCTTGAAGCTGCTTCAGAGTGCTTGGTCCGATGACAATTCGGTCGGGATCCTTGAGGTTGGAATGGAAAAGCAACCAGCGTAGGGCGCATTGGGCGCCCGTAGTCCCCAGATTGTTACCAATATTGTCCAAGGTCCGCATAGCCTGGTGATACAGGGGCTGATCGTACCACATGCGGTAAACTGCACCGAGCATATTACCCTCTCCGACCTCAAAACGGGTACCCTCCAACTGTTCAGGTGATGGAGAATAGGAGAGCTTTCCGGTGAGGAATCCACCGGCCAATGGCGAGGTTGCCTCAAAGTCAATGCCGAACTCACGTAGTACTGGGAAAAGCTCGTCCTCGTAGCCTCGGCAGAAGACATTGTATTGGCCTTGGTAAACTGAAGGCATAATCAGGTTTTCCTCGACGGCGATTTCCATCCAGGCACGGATCGCAGATGGACTGTAGTTGGAGAGACCCAACCTGTCAAAGTACCCTTGACGATAGTAATGGTCGAAGTGTGCGGCTTGTAGAGGAATCGGGACCTTGCGGTCCGGGGCATGGGCGTAGAGTGTGTGGATCTATAAATAACCGTATTAGCTTTGTATACATAGCCAATGTGTGCTTTTTACTCACTTTCTTGACCTGCAATCGCTCCAAACTGCCCTTAATAGAGTCCCCCATGTTCTTGAAGGACAAAGAGTCATCGCCAATGAATAAAACCTTCGTGTCGATGATCGCGTTCTCTGGCTTCTTTTTACCGAGAAGTTCCTCTGATTCACCGGGGTTAGTGGCGGGATACAGGGCAGCCGTATCGAATTGATTGATTCCAGCCTCCGTGAGACTCTTCATCAAATGGTCGACATTATCAGCTATCCAAGCGATACCAAATCCTTGGGCACCGAATACATAGCGAGGGGTATCCATGGCTGAATGAAAGAAGATATGTGAAAGATTGAAAGGGTTGAGAAGGTTGGAGAGTCGAAGAAATGAGAAAGTGGAAAGGGAAAAAAGTGTTTGACCTCCAAGGGAAGGCGCGTTGCACAAACCAATCTTCACCTTCCCATTTGTCAAACATTGAGATGTTCGAGTGTAACTCATACTTGCTCTGTATATAATTTTGAAAAGAGATATTTGTTTCTGGATATCACTTAATCTGCTGTGCTGCTCTCAGCTAGAACCTGATTTCCAAATTCTTCAATCTTCACAACAAGCTCATCTGTCCAACTAAGGTGCGGCGAATGACCACAGGGCGCACGGTAAATCGTGAATGGCTTACTCTGGCTCGCCGCCATTCCCTCTTGATACTCCTTGGGCAATATAAGGTCCTTTTCTAACACAAGATAGGCACACGGGAGCACATCATAAGGGCTATGGGTCAGAGGACTATTCATAACGGGAGCCGCTGTCAATGTGGAGGTCCACTTCTTCGCAGTCGCCGCGTCAAGATCGTTGAACAGGTATTGTTCAGGGTCGACCATAGTTCCAAGCCCATTAACACCATGTTTCTGTTATGAACGGTCAGTATCTACAAACATAGGTTAGTTCACTGATCAACCCACATGGAATCGCATAAACGGAGGCACAGTAATTTTGCCGTCCGGAGGCTGAAAGAATGAGTGAACTGATTGACCCTGTGGAACAATCAATGCGCCGATGAAGAATATCCCAATGACACCGCCGGTCTTTCCTTCCTTTGCGCGGACAGGAGCTTGGCGAGAAGATTGTGCAGCCTCAGCGGCGACCCAACCACCGGAAGAATGTCCTGCGAGTAGTACCGACTTTCCCTGTGCAATCAACTTGTCGAGAAGCTGCCCAATCTCTGTTGCATCATCTGCGGGGATTGGGTAGCCACCTGGGGAGCCTTACGGTCGAAATCAGGGTTGTTGGGATTGCCGACATTGAGCTGACTGAGATCACAAGTGGGCCGTTGGGGACAATAGGATTCGATTCCTTTCGCAGTCAAGCCATCAATAAGAGCTTGGTATGGAGCTGGACTATGATAGGAGCCATGGCAGACCACAACTGCAAAGGACTTGGACAAAACCATGGTGAGTTGTGGAGGGGGAAGAGTTGGGATGTCAGGGAATGTCAAGGTTCAGTTCCCCGCACGTGGTCTGGCAGCCTTGTATTTCGTTGCCACAAAGGACAAAGGAAAATAATTTAATGAGACTATTTTGTATATATATATATTCTGACTATTATCTTTCAACAGATCTGATCCAATTGGTTTATCTCTCTCAATTATGTACTTTTTAGAACAAATTCCCACCATCAAAAGAGCAATACAAACGCCTTGGACTCACCCAAGGGGGTACAAATCTGACATGCATTACGGAGCATAAACATACATATCCTGGTGTGTTGTCAGGTCTGAAGAAAAAAAAAAAGTCCCTGACTGTGGAGCCATGCAGATCTCCCGAAAAGAGGGAACGTGCATCTTAAGGATGGTCTTGACCATTCCATTCTGAAGATAACACTCTCTTTCAAACAGTGGAAGTCTCGGACACCCGAGGGAGCACATTTAGACTATGAACGTCAAGGTCTCGCGTCACTAAAATACCTGTCCCTGGAGCTTCATTTTCATCCCTAGCCCCAACATGTTCTACGGGAGCACCCACGGGCTCCACTTCCTTCGTATGGCCCCGCTCTTCATCATTGTGACCCCGATCGAGTGTGGAAAGGAGAGAGTCGAATTTTGCGGGTCGACGACGTAGTCGAGCTGACCCAATTGTCGGCAAATCGCGTGGTTGCGCTGAACGTACGGTTCGCCCGCGAAACAATAAGGGCCCGAATGTTGGAACACAGGCCACCAAGATTCCTGCCGTCATCTCGGCCATGATGAAAATAGAGGAGTCTCTCAGGCAGTAAATTAGGTCGTCGGCCGGACACAACTTGGTCTGGATAATGCGGCCCAGATTGATACCGGCCGTTCTATTAGCGGTCAGCAATGAAAACTGAGCTCGTGGGGCACTTACAGAATGCCTATCGCGAACGATGCAGTGACGCCGATCTTTTTGCGACTGGACATTTGCAGCCGCCAGACAATAGGGAGCGGCAGTAACACGACTCCCAAATCAATCCCCATGTTGAACCCTGCAGACGCATACTGGATCTTCAGAACATCCCCACAGCTGCCTGGAATGGTTCGGTTCCAGTTGTAGGCGACTGGACGGCAGAGCAAAGCGATCGTCAAGATCGAAGATACCCAGTAGAGGAAGACAAGACATCCCACACCAGTTGCACACCAGAAGAACTTCTGGTTTCCTGGGAAGATCTCTATATATAGAAGGAGTATGGCGAGTCTAAAACAGACCGTAGAGGTTGCCCACATCCATTCTGATGCCCAGAAGATCTAACTAGTCAATACCTCATATAAAAGTTCAAGAAGTCAGACCAATTACCTTCAATGCGCTAACCAACTCTCCTGGGTTTCGCGCTGCCATAGTCGTCGTGTGTCCGCCATAGCCAGCAGTGGTCGCCCCTGGTATCCAGCCTTAGCTCTGTTTCTCGCCTAAAGATTTGATCCGATCAACTCACCTATCAAGATGTCCACCACATAGCCAATCAATAATAGCTGGCATTATCATCAGCGTGCTGAAGAGCTTGACGTCCAGTCAAACCTACCAATGAGAAGAAAACAAGATAATCATGACTTTTCAAGCCCCGACGTCGTATATATATAGAAGCAACCCGAAGTGCAACCGCTACTGCAGCAATGAAGAAAAATATCAAACTCCACACTATCAGAACTGGAGAACGATGATTCAAGTGGGCCATATTCGAAAGAGAGGAGTCAGCAATTATGAGGTCTGACAATGTAAATCAAAGTTCGAACAACAATATATAGTATGTAGCTTAATATCAGAAGTGGTGGGTCGAGAGAAACAATGGCATTCCGCAAATTCAAGTGATGCATCTCAACTAATCTGTTATGGTTGTTCAATCTAGATAGCATGTGTAAATGGTTTCTGATACGGAAAGTTGTCCATGAACACAGGAGACTTCATTTCGTACAACGTGAAAACCTTGACCGCGACTTTCTCCAATTCGCGCATCAGCAGATTTTCAGCTGGGAAAGTACCAAAGTGAGACTCTGATGATATCCAGTGAAGAAGAGTAAACCTCCCAAGGCTGTTGTGAGACAGAGATTAGACTGACCGGGTCATTCACAACATCGAAGTCGACAGCCTTCCCATCAACCCGCAGCCTCCTGCATCCTCTCTCTGTACAATCCGAGACATCAACCTTCATCCCTTTGAATTCATGTACATCGTTGAAAATGCCTCTCTTCCAGGATACATACGCGGAGAATATGCAGCGAGATTCCACCGAGGCGCAAAGGTAAGAACTCACCCAACAGCCAATGAAAACACTAAATACTAACATCGCCTGAATAGACTCGACGAACAATTTGATCTCCTTACCGAGTACGAATACCTCGCCAAGCCCTGTGTTGCGAAGCAGCCCATAAGCAAACCATACTAACTCCTGCTGACACAGAAACATCGGCTACCTGCTGCACCCGTCCGTTCGAGACAAAATGCATGCCGGCGCACGCGTTGCTGACATCGCCACCGGCACTGCAGCCTTTCTGCGTGACCTCGCCCATGACTGGCCCGACGCAATCTTACACGGCTACGACATATCAACTTCGCTCTTTCCACCCGCCAGAACCCTCCCCAAAAACGTGACTCTGCACCTTCTCGATGCCCGCAAGGATGTCCCTGTCGCACTCTACGGACAGTATGATATCGTACACGTTCGATTGATTGCCGCCGGGCTGACTTCGTCCGAATGGGGAAGAGTTGTTCGCAATCTTGCTAAGCTCCTAAAGCCTGGCGGGGTTATGCAGTGGGAAGAGTGCGACTTTACTAACGTTCGCCACCTCCCCGGTAGACCTGATTCCACGATCAACGCGGCTAGTACCATCGGATTGATGTTCCTCACTGCCATGAAACCACGCTTCGAGTATGGCTGGAATCGATTGGCGACCGATATGCGTGCTGCTGGTCTTGTAGACGTGCATACTGAGGCTGTTTCTGCAGATCGGGTGTATGATACACGGGAGCGTTTGGCTACAAATGGGATGAGGGCTATGTTCGCCTGGGCGCGCCTTCATTCTGCTAGAGGATCACAGGGGGCGCTGACCATGCGGAAGATTGAGGATCTGGAGCAGAAGGCTTATGCGGATATTCAATCCGGTTGTTATGTTACATTTGACATCCACGTTGCCTGGGGATTTCGGCCAAAGGAGGAAGAGTGAACATGTCTCAATAAGCAGTTCTAGCCCGACGGTTCTGGTGCGGATATTCCAAAAACAGTTCAACCGAAATCAATAAAAAGATGTTGTTACACATATTATCTCCAAACTCAGCCCTATCTCGCTTCAACTTGCCTATATCCGACTTTGGAACACAAGTCGACATGCCCCGGGCTGTGCGGTCAATTGGTCCTTCATATCCCGTTCCACAGTCTCGCCATTATTCTCGCCAGGTGCAAATTCGATCTGATAATGGAACACCAAGGCCGCAGCTACGAGCCGGATTTGTGCGAGAGCTAAATGACGGCCAACACAGCTTGTACGCCCTGTCGAAACACATACTCAGCATCTGGGTCTCTCGTTATTCCCGTGTAGCCCAACCGGCCACATGGGAGATCTGACCACACGGGTCAATGGTAGGGTTGTAGCTTACCGACACCAAAAGGGGCAAATGCCCGTTTATCCTTGATCAGCTCCGGTTGGCTGTACCACCGCTCGGGAATAAAGTCATGCGGGTAGACATAGGCCATCTCAACTGGAGGTTCACTTTAGTCTTTCCGACCGAAGAGGAGATATGGGGATTCTCACGTCGACCAATTGTGTAGCGTGGTGCACATATTTTGGTATTTCCCGGGATAAACGTGCCATCTATCATTAGTCCCTGTGGTGGAGTTACCCGAGAGCTGAAGGTTAGCACCGCTGGAAGTAATCGCATTGCTTCGTTTATAGTCCCCGTCAAATGAGGCAACGTGGCTAAGGCAACTGGACTATCCCTATCAACCCCTTTGATCTCTTCATATATCTTCTCAGCATGTATGGGGTATCGGGCGAGGAAGTAGAAGAGAAGGGTTAGGCTTGGAGCAGTAGTGTCGCTACGATTGTCAGTCCATTGCTTCATGATATCCAGACAAACTGACCTTCCGGCTACAACCAGTGTTGCAGTATCGCCGCTCAACCAGCGCGCCCGTGTGGGATCTGATCCGCGTTTGGCGTGGTCCTCAATAAACCAAGATGCGATATCACGATCTGCGAGTGTTTTCTAGATCTATGTTAGCCAGGAGATTCATCGCCCATATGCTTTCTACTACCTTCATCCGTCGAGCCATGCATTGATCACAGAATTCCAGCATATTAAACCAGTGCCGGACCTTCCACAGCGACGGAATAAATGCAAACCCCAGTCTCGGGATCCATATTGCAGGACTGAATGGGCCCAGCAATGTGAGTGCCGAACGCAGCATCGCTATTGACGAATGCCACCTCTGGCTACTCATCATGCCAAAATCTTCGCTGAAGGCGAAATCACCCATTGAGTCAAAAGCGAAGAAATACATTAGGTCATTGATGAGAACTGGGCGTGATTTCCCCGAAGCAACAAGGCTTTGCAGTGTTTGTACCTTTCCTACCACGCGCCTATGATAAGAGAGTAATGCTGAACGACCGTGTCAGTGTTCAATGTATCGCGAGCCATTAGGATCACCAGACCTTTTCTGCTCAGTGCTTGCTCCCACATCTTCCGCCGTTCATGGTGCAACTGTCGGTCGCGGGTAAAGATCGAGGATATCCGGGGATATAGAAGGTCGTACCAATCAGAGCGCGTGTTGTCATTGTCAGGACCATCCATAGCCTCATAGGCTTCGGGGTGGAATATGGTGATTTCGGCCGGACCTGAGTATTCCAGCTCAGTGTTATCGGGGATTCAATTCCTACTGGGTTGGTGATATATCTTACCGGTTCGCACAAACTCCCCATATTTTTCATACCATTCCTGCAGGACGAGATGTCCACGCGAGTCGCGACATTTCCAGACATGCCATAATTTGGTCACCGCAGCTAATTTTGGTCCGGGGAAGTGCTTCAATCGATGGAACATGAGCCGGTATACGGCAATACTTGTGAACAGTGCTGAGAGATAGCATGTCGCCAAGTATGTTGTCTGAACCAGGCTGGCTCGGGTGCTTCCACGGCCAAACAAATGCTTTGCCCATAATAGACAGATGGAAAGAAAATGGAGGGTGACAACCTTGGGGCCTTTTAGATGCCATTCTCCGTGAATAAAGACAAGTTGATGGACCAGTAGCCCTGCAACAATTGCAACTGCCCCCGGAGCTACCATGATAATGATCAGACCGGATATTTTGGAACAATGGCAATCTCTATTTCAAGCCGCAAAGTGGGACGAGTCCTATGCGCTTTGTATCCTGATCGTCACAGTGAAAGAGAAACCAAAAGACAATGTTGGACAACGCTTGTCATTCACAGCCATCGGAGGATATGACCTAAACTCGGCCATTTTGGATATCTAGGTGACTTAATGTGTCAATGGTTTCACCCCAGAAACTGCTCGACTATTTAGCATAGGATCCGTGCCTCGCCCGAGACATTCAAAAGTCTACGACCTTCGGCTTTCTAGTCTGCACTCATTTAACGATTCGTTCTTCATCCATTCCCAGAAATCTGACCCTAAGGCTTAAATTCAACCGCGTGTGTGATGTAAATCCCCAAGTCACGATACCATATACCATCAAGCTCGATTGGACCATCAATACTCTCTAGTCATGAGGCGATGTCTCTCCATTGTCCAAAGCGCATTGAAATCTCTGTGGTACCACTCACGTACCTTCTGGCTGTTCGTATTCAGCGATTTCAAAACCATTGTGGCACCAAGTACCATTTTCGGAATCACAAACGCCTGGGCCGTGTCAAAATACGACCCGCAAGTTTCAGGAGCTTTTGCCCCTCCCCAAACCATAAACGATTATCCAACTTCGATTGGAAGAACTCTCGCGGTATTAACATGGCTTCTGATGAACTTGATTCCATTCGCCATCAACAACCAAAGGGGCGAAAGAGCCATTGCCGAGGACAGTTTGAACAAGCCATGGCGTCCGTTTCCTCGTGGCCGGATTTCTCACGAGTGGGGCACACGAGTTATGATCATCCTATATCTATTGGCCCCGATATATAGTCTTGCATTTTCCGGGGAGTCCGACATTCCGTGACTTTGATATGGTTAGGGATGTGGTACAATAACTGGGGTGGTGCGGACAAGAACCCGGTCATTCGGAATATTATCAACGGACTGGGGTATACCTGTTTCGCATCGGGGGCGATGGAAGTGGCGTTGGGCGGCTCTTTACTCCCTCTTCACCCGCTTGGGTGGTTGGGACAGTGGCTTCTTGTCATCATCGGGATTATTTTCTCCACCGTTCAATTGCAGGACCTGTCCGATCAATCCGGGGATGCTAAACGCGGTCGGCGAACGGTGCCTCTGGTATGGGGTGATACTGCAGCGCGGTGGACGATTGCTATACCCATGTTCTGCTGGGGAATATGGTGTCCGATGTTCTGGGGTGTGTCATCTCTTTGGTTTACCATCAGCATCGCATTGGCTTCGCTGGTGGCCCTGAGGACTTTGATTGTTCGTTCTGTTCAAGGGGATAAACAGACATTTCGAATTTGGAATTGTTGGATTGCGTTCATCTATATGCTACCCCTATTTTCTGAAGGGAAATCTCTTAAGAGCAGCGTTTCAAGTGATGTTGGATAAAAGCGATGGACCCGGGGTTGTTGGGCCGCACCACACTAATCATATTGTAGTTAATTGTGGAATCAAAGAAGCAATAGAAAGAGAGAGCAATGGGGTATAGCGCACATATAACCATAAGACCGGCCATAAAAAAAAAAAAAAACAACTGTATTCCATAAACAAACTGATAGAAACATTTCAAACATCATCTCATAGCAAAGGCGGAGACCTCGCACCATAGGACAAAACTAAACTACAGTGTTGACCACAATGTATCCTTTGTCAAGTATATGATCCGCCGCGACAATCAAACAGTGATCTTTAAAGACCCCCGAGGTATGGGCATAACGAAAGAACCCTAAAACTCTATTATTCTCATGAATCTCATCCCAGATAGGCGAGCCGCATATGACTTCTTGCGCGTAGTCTCTCGGCTCTTTTCCAGCGCGGACATCGCTCCAAGTGTACCGCGTTGTATCCATCTTTCGCAACGCTTCAGCCCTTGGTGGCTTCCAGCGTTGGATTAACTGGGTATACCAGCCGTCTTCGAGGGGCAATCGCCGAAGAGATTCCTTCTAACCAACACTCGATCATCGAACTCAATTGCCTGTGTTTTTGGAAATAGTTCGAAAAGGAGATTGTTGTTTGCAAGTTCTAGGAATTTCGAGGGATATTCCCGGAGATCAAACGGCATAAACATCTGCCGAGCGGATAGCAAGGGAATTCGGAGGTCGAAACGCCAATTTTTCTCATCTTATAGGGGGTTGGGTTAGATAGGCTGCTCTCGCCTTGCGGGGGATGCCCATGTGGGAGACTTTCCTCCCCTTGCAGGTGAATCTTCGGGATGTAGTCGCCCTAAATTATGGTTAGTTGTAAATATTGCGAATTCTCCTTGATCTTATAAATTCACTCACCACAATACTTGACGGTGAATCTCTCTGGGGCCTATCGCTGGTGGATTGGACCAGGCCCGGGGTGGGGGGAAGATGACCAAGTCCTTCGCCTGGGAGGATTCTGGTGATGGTACAGTCTTTCGTCTCTTGTTTGAAAGGGGGATCTTCTGCCGATCTAGGTCGGGGTGTCGCAATGATAATTTGTTGGGGCGATGAAAGCTCCATTCTGAGATGGGGTATGTGGACTGTCAGGGGTAAATGATGGTACAGAATGTATCAAATAACCGGTATACGACGGGGTAATAACCTACTTTTTTATCTAATTTAAACCCCAAATTGAATCTGAACTGAATCTGAACTGAATCTGAACTGAATCTGAACTGAATCTGAACTGAATCTGAACTGAATCTGAACTGAATCTGAAGTGAATTGAATCTGAAGAAAATTGGCAGATCTCTTGGCCGCTAGTTTAGGGGTGGTAGCGTAGACTGTTGTAGTAGATAGTTTCTCTTCTCTCTAGCTCTCTGTTAGGAAAGGTCTACTTGGTGGACGTCAAAGTGCATGGTGAGAAATCCAACGCTCTCTCTTTGGTCTGTCCATACCGCATAGTAGGAATATACAGGCATTGCTTCTCCAATTGAATCATATCGTAGATTCTACATTAGATCTGTTCTTGATAATTTCCCTGCTTCAGTTGATAGGAAACCAGCTGTTGCACTGTGTCGCCAGTATAAGCGTGGAAGCTAAAACGCGGTAGAGTGTCATCGTTATTGATAAAGGCCCAATTGTCGGCGCCCTGGGCCATTTGCCTGGGATAGCGTCCCCGCCCATTACTTCCTCGTTGCCATTGAAGCTAGTACCCGCTGTGTACGAATCACCGAGGGCGATGAACTCCGAAATCTTTTGGGTGGGCTTCGTAAAGGGACGAACGAGAGATCATTAGTAATGGTTTGCATTGTTTACAATTAGTGGGTCTGTCACCCGAGAATTCAACCGAGCTCATTGGTCTGGTATAGAAGACACGTGACTTTGGGTGGATCACCAGACCGCAGTGTGCATTGCTTATTAAGGTATTTTTCTGCCAAGGCCAAAATAAGGCATTAAGGCATTAAGGCATTAAGGGCTATACTCGGTGATAAGAATAGCTAATTCCGAGATGGACTTAAACCCGGTCTAATCTCCCAGGCAGCTGGACATGACGTTGGCATTCTCGATTTAGTTAAATATCCTCATATTCATGTTCATGTTTCCTTTTTTTCTTCCATCGATTTAAATATTCATTCATAATGGGTTTCCTTTACTCACAATTCCTCGTTACTCCCACGTACCCAGCACAGTCTTTCGTCGATCAAACGGTGCTCATCACCGGCGCCAATGTCGGCCTAGGCCTGGAAGCTGCACGCCACATCACGCGACTAGGCGCCGCCCGAGTGATCCTTGGTGTTCGAAATGTGACTGCGGGCAAAGAGGCCAAGGAGGACATTGAGAAGTCTACAGGTCGCTCAGGCGTCTGCGAAGTGTGGGAGATCGACCTAGCCTCCAATGCCTCGGTCCTTGCTTTTGGTGAACGCATCTCCAAACTCCCCAAGCTCGACGTAGCCATCCTCAATGCAGCAATTGCCACCACAGAGTTCAGCACTGCTGAAGGCTATGAGCGAAGTGTTACTGTCAATGTTATCAACACTCTACTCCTCGGCCTTCTTCTCTTACCTACACTTAAGGCCACCCGACGAAACAGCCCATCGCGTACGCCCCGACTTACCTTCGTTGTGAGCGAGGTGCATGGATGGGTAAATTTCACAGAATGGAAGGAAGACGAGCCAATGAAGGTCGTTAGCGACCAAACCAAAGCCAAAATGGACGAGCGGTACCCATTATCGAAGCTTCTTCAAGTCCTGCTTGTGCAGGAACTAGCAGGGCGCGTGCGTGGATCAGAGGTAATCATCAATATGCTCAACCCTGGTTTCTGCCACTCACAACTGGGGCGAGAGTCTGGTTTGAAGTTCAAACTGATGCAAATGGTATTGGCACGATCGACGGAGGTTGGATCTCGAACGCTAGTGGCAGGCGCTGCAGCTGGACTCGAAAGTCACGGGGCATATATGAGTGATGGACATGTAGAGAACACTATGCTTTCACCTTTTGTGCGCAGTGACGATGGACGCCAAGCCCGTGAGAAACTATGGGCGGAGTTGTCATCGATCCTTGAGGGTGTTCATCCTGGAATTATGCAGAATGTTTGATTTGGGGCATGAGGATTTCTTGTAAATTAAAACCATTAAATGAAGATAATTCATTAGAACCAGCTAGATGCGCTAATTGAATCTCCTTCTCACATAATATCTTACAGAGTACAGAGCACATTGACTCCATCTGCAGCTGAGTCTTCGTACTACTGCTACTCCATGGCTGACCATTTTTTAGACCACCAAAAACAAAATACAACTCATATCGGTGCTGATCTTCGGATGTTGGATAGGCCAGACCGTGTTCATACGCCTTTCTTTTTTTGATATACACCTCATCTACTACCATACACCTCTCTTATTCGCAGAGAGCCCCCTTTACCCCCGGCAAAAATTGCCCGCTATGCTAGGTCAGACGCTGAGCCAGCCAGCCCATTTCCCAATACAATGACCTCTCACACCCAACATTCTGTGGCCACAAAGTGATGGCGATGTACGAGATACATCTTACGAGTGTCCAAACATGCCGAACTATGTCTATGATTTGTTCAATGAATCCTCGGGCGTTAATAACGAGGTCTTATTGACTACCCTCTTAGTCCAACAAAGGAATCGGTGCCAAGGGATATGTTCACAATGAGACTGCTTCTGCATGCTTGTTCCCCGTCCAAGTTGCCGTACATTTAGGCCAGGTAAATCCCCCCATCCAAGACTGCCATAGTTTATTTCTCCGCACTTGATACTGTTCATCTTCATCATGGCTCCTGTCCTGTTAGAACCCACAATTGTTGTTTCCCAACCCAGTACTACTCCATTGAAGGTATCACTCAATGGTACTGTTACAAATGGAGTTGATTTGACCCTGAAGGCACGTCCTTGGCGACTCCTGCACCTTGCCGATGCCCTCAACCCTCCGGCCCAAGAGGAACATCCGGATATTAATATCCAGCGACTACTCCAATTGGCATGGGTTACTACTATCAGGGCATTTTCCTGCTCAACAACTCTATACATTGGTCAAGACTATCCGAAAGGCCAATGCTACATAGGCGAGGCAGCTCATGGCTACTCAAAGCCGACCGTCCAGATTCACGTAGATCCTCATGATACCGTGAGAGATCTGTTCCGCGAAAGCATTGAAGCATTGGGTCCATTATCCCAGATTGGAGTTACCGAGAATGGCCACAACGGCCAGGCTGGTGACAATCCCGGCCTCAACGTGACAATCTTCTACCAGAAGCAATCGGCAGAGCGCATTCTGTCTGGTCTCGATGCATGCGTCGGCCATTGCCAGGCCTGCTGTAGCATACCAATGAAAGAGCCATCGGAGGTACACTCGATATTCGCCGGTCTCCGACTTTCAATACGCCATACCTCCGACGATAGGTTACACGCACGATTGGATGTTGGAAACACTAGCATCGGACTGCCACTAGCTACAAGCCTCCTGAACAGCTTCAGCCAGGCTCTGTCATCAATTGATGGCTCATCCACACAGAGCATCGGTAGCCTCGAGTTATGCTCGCAGCAAGATCGTGACCAGATCACCCAATTCACTGCAACCATCGAGCCTGCCCATGACGGCCTGCTGCATGACCTTTGTTTACGACACGCGAAGACAACACCCGATGCCCCCGCCGTTCGCTCCTGGGATGGAGATCTAACATATCACCAACTCGGCGAATTAACTTCCCGGTTAGCACATTGGCTAGTGGGACAAGGCGTCGGACCAAATATCTATGTGGCATGCGCCTTCTACAAATCCACCTGGGCTATTGTAGCCCGATTGGCTGTCCTGATGGCTGGTGGTGCATACATCTGCGTCGATGGGAATGATCCACCACCATACCTTGCATCCGCGCTCGAACGCACCCAGATAAAAATAATGCTCACGGCAGCCGGATACAGAGAGAGATTCGCCGATCGAGTCGAAACACTCTTCGAGGTCAGCGAAGCTTCCGTCTCCAGTTTGCCATTGAAGACTTCGGTCCCTTGTTCAACCGTCACACCCACCGACCCTTGCGTTGTGCTCTTCACATCCGGCAGCACGGGAAAACCAAAGGGAATCATCCAGGAGCACCGTAGCTATGTCTCGGCATTGACGGATTACATCCGTGTCATGGACATGGGACCGCATAGCCGGATGTTCCAATTCGATTCGTACACTTTCGACATCAGCAACAATGACTTCCTGACGCCTCTCATAGCTGGTGGATGCTGCTGTGTCCCCACTATATCTCTGACAATGGAAGCTCTGGTGACCGACATGAACAATCTGGAGGGGAACATAACGTTCATAACACCCTCCGTTGCCATCGACCTGGAACCAGACAGCGTCCCCACTCTGAAGATGATCTGTATCGGCGGCGAGCCAGTCTCAGATGCGGTATTGGCGAAATGGCTGGGCCACGCGCAGGTGGTAAACCAATACGGCATGGGCGAGGTAGCTTCCCTCTGCGCATATAATCGCAATCTCAAGATGGGCCGTGGGTCGGTCGTCGGTCGTCCTGCCACCGGTGCAATCTGGATCGTCAATCCCGATAACCCCGACCAACTGATGCCCGTCGGGGCTGTGGGAGAACTTCTCATTGAGGGCCCCCACCTTTCCAAAGGATATCTAGACCACGTATCTGGAAAGTCGGAGAACTTCCTCACTGCGCCACCGATTTGGATGGCGCAGCTGCACACCGACAGACCAATTCACCGTCTATATCGCTCTGGCGATCTAGGCCGGTACAACCACGATGGCACGATCGAGCTGATGGGCCGCAAAGATAGCATGCTCAAGCTCGACGGCGCGCGCGTCGAAGCAGGCCAAGTTGAGTACGTGCTCCGACGCAACTTGTCCACCGGCGACTCCGCTGTCGTGGACATTCTCGGCGCTGTCGATGGCCAGGGTGATCCTATTCTTGGAGTTTACTTATACTTGGCCAATAACCCCATGAACATGGAAAATGGTCCAGTTGAGGAAATGGAGTTCCGGCCCATCAGCGATAGACACGCTGTGTATGCGCTCACCCAGTCGCTGAGCGAGGCGGTCCGCCAGAGTTTGCCGAAGTACTATGTCCCTGCGCTGTATATCCTTATTGATAGAGTCCCGCGCACCAAGTCTAAAAAGACGGATCGGCGTAAGCTTCACATGTTAGGACAAGCTTATTATATGGAACATCGGGAAGAGCTGGAGGGAATTACGGTGTGGCTAGATTGGAGTAAGATATAAATATGTCCCATTCACTTTTGCAGTGAGTAGGTAGGCCTTTGTTCATTTGATATATTTCTAGTATTGATCTGACAGGATATCGCATGCAAACCAAAACTGCCATATATACGTATTTGAACGTCTATTCTCAAATGCCACAACCTTGAAATATCGAAAAGAACCCTTGGCGGCCGGCTACCTCATCAATACATCGATCATATTGCGTGGCAATTCCACTTCTGCTTTGTCAACAAGTTTGTCTTGGAGGGATTCTATATGCTCCTGGATAGAATTTGTGAGGTAGCATCTGCCTGAACAGGAATATCAAGATGTGCTGTTCATACAACATCATTTCTTGTCTGATTCGACGGCGTAGAGACTAGGTCCGGGCGGGTGGTCCCCGCTCTTGGTGCGATTCGATGACTTTCGAAAATAAATTCGATCCACGTCCTGCGCATTTGTATTCTCGACCGGACAAGAGAAATTCCAGGTGGGTTCTCTAAGGCGAGGAATGGAGGAATGCGCGGAGGTCATGGCGGGGATAATAACCCCGCCGATAGCGCCGAGACCATCCCTGACGGTGACAGGTCACAATGACGGCTCCCAGTGTAGCGCAGCCGACACTAGAGGACGGAGTAGAAAAGCCCCGGGAGAGGGTGGGGGAAGTAATAACTCGGCAAATTGTCTCAACGAAACAATAATGCATCACCACGCACTCTCATCGCTCATATGACCAAGCCCGAGGCACCGACGGAAAGAAAGCATGCTTCATATCCTGGAACGCTACATCCTCATCCATCATCATGGAAGAACCAATCGCAAACCCAGCCTCAGGGTCAACGGGCAGCCAATTTGATGTCATACGGGTACTCCCATCGGGCATCTCGAGTGGTGTGAGACACTCATCGTCCATTCGTGATTGTTGACTGTGCGGGGAGCGGAGACTGTGGGTCTGAGTCTGACCATGAGCCTGATATTGAGCGTCTGGTGCCGAGGCCCCGAAATCCGACGGCCCGAAATCGAATTGCATGTATTGGGTATCGTCGTGCTCGGCTTCGCCTTCCCACCCGCTAGACGAAGCATAGCTTGGTTCTGGGGATGCGTTGGGATCTGAGGTTGGTGATCCGGGGAAAGGGAAGGTGAGGGTATTCGGGGTGGGAGTCATGAAAAGGGCTCTTTGTGTTGCGAGTTCGAGATCGGGGTGGGGATTGATCGGGGGATTCTCGGTGGTTTGGAAAGTAGGTGATTGGTGGAGGGAGAAACTGGTTGCACATGTTAGTTAACTCTTTGGTTCTCAATTGTCCTCGTCTCTCGCCAGTTTGGGAGTTTCTAAGGAAATGTCGCGGGTAGTATTTACCTTGTAGGATCGGTTCTCTTCCCTCCACACTCCTCTCTCACTAAACCGGCGTCATACCACATTTGGGGATATGGTTGAAATGCGGTCGATTTAACCGGGTATTCATTCACCCAGTTGAACTGCTGGGCAGTCCAGGAGGGGTCCAGGTCCTCCTCCATTAGCAGAGGAAAGTCACTGGCGATGAAAGGGTGCGGGCTAAGCTCGTCCTGCTGTCCCATATGTGAATCGACGAGACTCCCCATGGGCCAGGAGGTAATATCGTATGGGAATTGAGCTTCAGTCATGGTGAATGTGCTGTATTTGTGATAGGCTCAAATGATGGCGCAAGTAGAGGGCGCAATACACAAATCAAGGAGCAAAGCTCTAGTTCAAGCTTGAAGTTGAAGCTCTAAATATTTCGTATTTTTGTGAGACCTTGCTACCCAGCACAAAAAAAGGAAAAGAGTAAAGATTATAATTCCCCGCAAAACCGGGGTCATGCTTGACTTATTTAAATAATAAAAAAAAGAATCCAATTCAAAAGATCAAACCACGCTGAGGAGCTGTGGATTTGCGGAGAACCTGGGGCCCCGAAGCTCCAACAGTCCATATCCCCGGACACCGCATGATCTCCTGAAATTGTTGAATTAACCGATTTCCCCGGATTTTACAGTCAAGCCCGTGCATTCGGGGGATATTCTTGGCCAATCGGTGAATTCCAGCAAGTCGGGATCGAGAATTTAATCGAGACCCCGCCGTGGATCGGGTAAATTTGAAGAGGCTTGAGAGATGAAGAACCTAAAACGGGGAGTGATATATTGACCTTGGGTTGTTTCATAATTTTGGTTTATATTATAACGAAGGTTTGTGGGGAAGATACTGTTGACGCCACGAAAGAATAGACCGAGATCCCTTTGATCCCTTCAAGGGTAAATTATTTATACTCGCAGAATTACCCGCCTTGAATAATACATGGAAAAGAAGCTTTCACCCACTGAGACACCATATACCCAAAAAACGCCACTCCAGAACTGTACAAAGAGTAACCATATAGAAGTAGAATCCAGTCAACTCCAGGCTTGCGAAGATCGGCCATAGGGGAAAAGGATTCTCACCACTCCTCTCAGGTACGAAAGTCCGCAGGAGCCCGCGTGGTTTAGTTCCATAGGGCGCAGGGATCGACAGGAACAACGAAATCCTGGGTGGACCTGCTTCTGCCTGTGGGGTATTTACAGGGCTAAGCCCGTCCCCTTCCGCGTCCAGCGGTAAAGAGCGAGAACTGCTTTTCGGCGATGCCGAATTTCACTAGGGTTAACTGGGCGACCCCGAGCCTGCGCGACCGCAGAACGCATCACTTGCCGGAAGCTGCGCTGGTATTCCGTATTGAGGGTGACGACGCACGATTCTGTCGCTCGGATCATGGTCTCGCAGGCGTTAAGTATTCCTTCGCCTGCTTCCTTTTGCAATCGCTCTACGATAAGCAGCAGGAGGAAACTGCCTTGCAGCAGCTGGATGCCGAAGAAGTAAGGCATGAAACTAACGTCGGGGTCGAAGCGGAGGATTTGTTGCACGGAATCGGCGGCTTCCAGTGCGTGTGAGATGGTCGACGCAAAGGCCGGGGACGATGTCCAGAAATCTTTGTCTTCGATCAATGAGACAGGGTCCCACTTTCCGACGAGTAGGATATGGAGGACATGAGTTAGGTAGGAGGAATAGGCAATCACAGTTTGTGTATGCCAAGAATAGGCCTGAGACAATTGTGGATCGACAGGTTCTGGTTTATTGGTGTAGGCAGTCGTCGATGAGGCCGCCGGGTCTGCCGCTGTCGCCGCCGCAAAGGTTGTAAGACTAGCTTTGTAGACCTCAAGTTGGCGCAAGACCTCTGACACATGTACATCCCATGCTTCTTTTCCTTGGAGCCTGACACCAAGAGTAGGGTGGTTTCGCGCTTGGTTTAGATCGATCAGTTCGCCAGTGATCGTCATGAGTGGGAGGAAGAAGCCAAGGATGGAGTGGTCGTGGCAGATGAAGTTGGGGAAGATTCGACGTTTGTTTTGGTCGCCCGACCGGGGGCACTGAGGCCCATCGGGACGAGGACTATTGCTGTGGATGATACCTTCTTGCCATGAGCTTTCATCTAGTGGAAGCAACAAGTCCTCGCTTTCGGCATCGAGTAGGGCCAGGGGACGATTATAACATAATGCAAGATGACGGTCCATGATATACAGTAGCCACCAGGTTCTGCGCCGCTCCTCGCGGTGCTCCTCTGTAATTAGACCATTATGCAAATCATGGGTCTTGTCGCACACACAATTCAGGTTCGAGCGGGAACTATTCGAAAAGTCCAAACCCAGGCCCCCTGGGGAACCAGGCCATCCGCCGAGACCGTAGCCGAAGGACGGACTTGAGCCATCGCTCATGCTGTCGATATTGGGTGTGATTTCCATCTCTTGGTTCAATTTAAGTTCTCGAGCTAGTGTAAAGGCCGCATGCCACCTAAGGTAAAGTTAGTGGAGTGGACAGGGGATAGGAACAGGGATGGGAACAGGGGTACAACGAACCATCTCATACTTGCAGCCTTTTGTTCACTAGATGAGATAATCGAAGCCACATGGATATATGTAATGACATCGTCTAAAGACCCGGCAGGTCCTACTAGCCCTTTATCATCACCGACTCCTTCGAATGGGTGGTGAGCGCCGGCTGAAAATTCGTGGGTGGTCGCGTTTTCAGCGGGCGACGGATCTTGGTCTTTGAACGAGACATGTATCAAAGGCCGCAGTAAACGAATAATCAATGCACAAAGGAATTGGCATATCTTCCTCCGTTGTAATGGTGAGATGGATAAAGAGAAAGCCCGGTCATCCACAGCAGCCACCCAGAGCATACTCGCCAGCAATGCAGGACTGGTTGGCCGCGGTCGGTCGGTATTCAGAAAAGAGGTCTTTCGCAGAACATAGCAATGAATATGATGGCACACCGGATGCATATGGGTTGAGAAAGCACTGGTAAAGTAGAGTTCAAGCAGATCGCACACCAGCCGACGCGGGAGGTTCGATTCGAGAAAAGGCATGAGAGGTTCCAAGACAGGATACTTTAATGGCGACCGCGTTGTCGATTGTTGTCTCTGTTTGGGAAGGTTTGCCCCTGACACAGACGGTATGGGAGCAGCACGCTGGACCGGTCGGTGGGCAGCGAAATCAACCGGATTCCAGATGTCCATCAACCGAGGCAGAGGCGCGTCGCTGCCGCCCGTGCCTGCAAGCAGATCATACGAATCCGGCGATAGATGCGCCGCTGACAACCATTCCTCTGTGATATTCGCGGCAGACCCTACCCGCTGTGGTAGTGGACGATCCGGCACAGACCGACGGCCGTCCACACTGGGCGCCGAGACGGCGCTGATCTCATTTGTTGCCGGCGATCGCTGCTGGAAGGTCGATGCAGGAGAATGATTGTCTACTGGCGACAGCACCTGCTGCGACTGCGACTCTCGGTTGTGTTCCCCATCGGCCTGCTTCCCCTCGGTGGGGTCCTGCACTGTCTCTTCCTCGGCATTCGCATCACGATTTTTTGGCTTTGATCTTGCAATACGTCCTCGTTTCCGGCGCTCGCGGGTAAATTGGCAGCTTATATCACCGCGCAGGCATCTCGAGCAGGGGAAAGCACGGTCGCATCGTACACGGCGAGTATGGCAGGAGTCGCAGGCGACTCTGTTTCGGCGCCATCGTCGCTTGCCGTTTGCTAGCTCAACCTCGACGTCGAGGGAGTCGGGATCCGGAGATGGCTGATCACCCTGGGACTCCATTTCGGGGGCGTCATTGGAGAATTCAAGTGTAAAAAAAGAAAAGAAGCCGAAAAGAACAGCAGAATGTTGCGGGGAAAAAGACACTAACTAATGTCTCACCCGCAATTCCACTTGGCGTGGAATTTCTCCAATTTCTTTTTTTTTGTACGGACATCTCATCTGACCAAAACTGATGATAATGGGCTTCATTATTATTTACATGTTCAACATTCATTATTTCTGAAGTGCACCCTTGAACCGCTTCAACGCTCGATCTCGACTCTCTGCGTGGTCCACAATGGGCTTGGGATAACCATTCTTCTGCGCAATGGCTGTCGCCCCCTTGGCATAAGGTTCGTGGATGGCTTTGCCAGACACCTCGCGCAGTTCCGGTACCCAGTGGCGGATATATTCCCCCTCCGGGTCGAATCGTTCACTCTGACGAAGAGGATTGAAGATGCGAAAATATGGTTGCGGATCTACGCCAGTACTAGATCCGAATCCCCACCCGCCGTGATTGGACGCGAAATCGCCATCAATGAGATTCTCCATGAAGTACCGCTCACCACGGCGCCAATCGAGCATCAGGTCCTTCGTAAGGAACGATGAGACGACCATGCGTGTGCGGTTATGCATCCACGCGCAGTGACGGAGTTGGCGCATTGCTGCGTCAACGATCGGGAAGCCTGTCTTGCCCTCGCACCACGCTTGAAATCGGTCCTTGTCGTACTCCCATTCAATGTTTGTATTCTCGGGCTTGAAGCACTTGTTCATACTGCAAGAGGACTATGCATTAGAATGGGAAACCCCTTGTCCTCCTAGAGGATGGCAACTTACCAGATGAAGGGCCAGTTCACTAGGACATGCCTGTAGAAGTCACGCCAGGCCAGTTCGCTGATCCATGTGATGTAACCGGGGTCGTATCGATCGAGATAGCCTTTGTTGGTCCTTTTCGCTGTCGCGACCGCAGTCCTTGCACTGAGGGCTCCGCATGCAAAGTAAGGACTCAGAACCGAAGTATTCTCACCAGACAACATGCTCCGTGACTCCTCATACTTTTTACCTTTCACCTCAAGGAAGTTATCCAGTCGCTGGAGAGCTTCATGCTCACCGGCCGGGTAAAGCCCCTCGATGCGATTCTGATCTTCATCCGACAATGTGTGGGTTTTAGGAGCAGCTGGCACCTTGCAATCAAACAGATCCTTGAATTGTTGACGCGCATTCCCTGGGTTTGGCCCAGGTTCCTCAGAGACCTCAAGATAATCCGGGTTCTCTTTCAGAAAGGCCAACCAAGAGCGATACCATGGAGTATAAACAGAATATTGTTTCCCTTGCTGGCTAGCCAGCGCCCCCGGAGTAACCACACATGTATCGTGAGTGGGAGTAAAATTGATGTCGCTATCTGCGCAGAGTCTAACAAGCCTGCCTTCGCGCCGGAGTTCGTCTACCTCATACTCAATATTCGCATATAGGTTCTTCGCACCCCACTCTTGACACAATTCCACGACCCGTTTTGGAATCGCCTTCCGTTTCTCCTGTGTTTCCATATGCAGAGGGATATCTAGTTCTCCCAGGTCCTGTTGCAATCGCTTGAGGGTACGCAGGGTGAAGTCCGCTCGGGCGGGACTAGTCAAATGAGCAGTCCAATCTTCGGGGGAGACGATATAAAGACCGATCAACGGCACCTGATTCTCTTTCGCAAATCGGTAGGCCGTGTGCAGCGCCCTGCTGTCATGAAGTCGGAGGTCGCTCTTGAACCAATATACTACAGCACTGCCCACGCTGATTGACCGGCGCTGGTCGGCGGTTTCCCGGCAAGCTTTCTGTAGTGTTTCAATCGGGCGTTCTAGTTCGCCATCGGTATATGCTTGGCACCGCTCGTTGCTCATCTCCGGTGGATAGAATTGGCGCAAGACTATACCGAACTCTTCAGTTTGTTTAGCGTTTGGGTGCGGTTGGTGCAGGTCTGTACGGCCCTTTTTACTAGGGGGTGAGCCATTGGGCTGTTCGACTGCCGGTGCGGTGGCCTTCCTCTTTGATGGCATAGCTGATAAGTTGCGAACAAACCAGGGTCGCAATTGGTTTGAAGTAAACACACGTGAGATTGATGGATAAAATTGCAGAGATAGATTCTGCATTACTGAGAACAACGGGAAAAAATGGAATTAAAAGAAATATCGTAGGCGATTCGATCTGAAGAGATCGAGATCGGATTCAGATCGGGTGACGTCAGAGTCCGATCTGGTCGTTCATTCCCTGTGAGTCTGTCTGCTTTTGAAACTTCTTTTTATTTTATTTTTATTTTTATTTTATTTTTATTTTATTTTTATTTTATTTTATTTTTATTTTGTTTCTATTTTGTTTTTATTCTGGCCATTGCAATAATGCCAGGGTTAACTATAACTATCAGTGACTCGCTAATAAACAAGCTTGACCTATATACGATCTGCCGTTCAGCTTGTGACCAATCAGGTGCTAGATATGAACCTCGTATTCCAAAGGTCCAATTCTCTTCTCTGCAAAGACATGGGAATTCAACAGGGAATATTATAATATTTCACGCTTGTCATCCTGAGAGTTCATATTCCGTCTCCTTATGGCCACACCTTATCATCTACCTCCTTCGGACAATACGGAGTATGTTTCCCAAGTATCCAAGCCTTCAAAACAAGGGGGATCGACAACCGAGAACAGAACTCCACCCAATAATGCGATAATGCGATGAATATCAGGGGAATAAAGGGAGTTGTACTCATATCCCTTTTGAAGATACTATTCAAAATATATAAACTGTCCCACCTGGACCATGGCTCGGAAACTTCCACAACTCTCCCTTTGACCAGTCGACTTTCATGAACTTCCCCCACATCTCCGAGGAGCTGTCATGGAATCAGGTGCTCTATAAGCTCTATTCGCCGATATCGTCTAAGCTCTTTCCCGCCACTGCCCAGGCGTAAATCTACAAATCTGTGGAATGAACTTTAAGCATCACGCAGAGATTTATTATTTTCTTCCTTCACACACCACATCCTCCCTATGATCTATCATCAACCCCTATCTACTATATCCAACACATCAATCTACTCCACACCCTAGAGCACAACCAGCAATGTCCCTCTACCGCCAATGGCCACCACAAACGCCAACAGCGTTGCAACCTCCTTCATTAGCACCTACGGCGCATCCGATATAGCCCGCTCAGGCATATTCGCCGCCTTTGCCGCTGTAGCCTGGTACAACGTCATCGAACTCATAATCCTCTGTTTCTTCTCCTTCAAACGTTGGAACGGAAATTATTTCTGGAGTCTACTCCTCTCCTCCGTCTGCATCATCCCATACTGTCTCGGCTTCGTCCTCCTCTTCTTCCGCACCGGCGTTACACCATGGCTATGCGTGACACTCATCGTGCTGGGTTGGTACGGAATGATCACCGGCCAGTCGATTGTACTGTGGTCACGGCTGCATCTCGTGCTTCAGAATAGGAAGCTATTGCGCGGTGTGTTGTGGATGATCTGTATCAATGCTGTTATATTCCATATCCCGACTACGGTCTTCTTATACGGGACCGTTGCGCATCCGGAGAGTCTCTGGGGCCGCGCATACGATATCATGGAGCGCGTTCAGCTGGTTGGGTTCTGCGTGCAGGAATTGATTATTTCAAGCATCTATGTCTGGGAAACGGTTAAATTGCTCCGTCTCAGACCAGAAGGTCGTCCACATGGAATTCTGAACCAGTTGCTGGTTATCAACATCATTATTCTGATCTTGGATCTCTCCATCGTCGTCATTGAATATGTCGGCTATTATGCCGTCCAGGTTATGTTCAAACCTGTCGCTTACAGTATCAAGTTGAAGCTTGAATATGCTATCCTTGGTAAACTGATCGCCATTGCCCGCGGTCGCACGGATAGTCAGCATGTGGACTCCTCCAGTACGCGGGACATCACTGAGACCAGCTCGTTTCCGTCGGATCGGCCTATGAGTCTGGAGTCCCCCATGCGGGATCGTCGACAGTATAGTCCGCCTTGGTTTTGGGAAGGGAGGAGCTCCGGTCATTCTACATCTACTTCATCTCGTGCTCTGCGGAATGCATGACAGCCTGCCTTAGTTGGCTTCTTTCACGCTTACGTCGAAGTTAATTATCCTCCTAGCTAAAATTAAAGGCACGGTAGGGCAGACTGTTGGTTTAACAGCTTTTTTTATGTTTTCTGTTTATCATATACACCCATTCTCGAACTCGCCTTGACCGATGTACACTGAGCACTGAGTACCTTTTTCCTGCCCCACTTACGGGCGACTAAGTCGACCATCCAAACATAACTCTCTCATTGGTTTATATTGCCCAGCAGTAATTTAGATCCACTCTCACTTCACAAGTACCATGTTGAATCTATAGTTAACTAGTATGCCACCTTTGACTGAATTATTATTAGTTCACCTTCTGCTTTATTTTAGACGGGCATTCATTCATTCATTAAAATACCGGGGGGAGATAAAATCAATTGGTATATTCATTATAAAATTGACACTTCGTATATACAGCGGTGGTAAATGTTAATGCCTTAATGCCTAGCTTTTGCCTAGCGGCTAGACCAGAACACCTCCCTTGAAATTTCAAAATCAAATAATCAAAATAGCCTGATTTTGCTAGCGTTTGCAAGTGTCAAAAATAAAGCCTTTTACCAGTATACAAATTTCGATATCTCGATATTTTGTGGCGGTTTGTAAGTATCAAAAATGAAGCCTTTTATTAGTATACAAATATAGATATCTCCACGGCATTTTGTGGCGGTTTGTAAGTGTCAAAAATAAAGCTATTCATTAGCATATAAATGCAGATATCTCCACGGCATTTTGTGGCGGTTCGCAAGTGTCAAAATAAGGCTTCTTATCAGCATATAGATATAGATACAGTCAGTACGCAAAAGTTTTAACACCCCAGGCCCCACACTGTATGCTTATGTAATATTCTGCCGGTCAGAAGATTTTCTTCAATACCATTATAAATCAAAATCTCTGGCTTTTAATGATTGTTTACAAAAGACTAGATATCATTTTAGGACAATAAACCAAAATATCCAGATATATGACATGAACTCAAGAGAGTTGAGGTCTACCAGTTCATTTCATATAGGCGGTATAGACGATTAGGGAAGGCGGTATATGGGTGGGGCTAAAGGGGGTGTTAAAACTTATGAACAGTCACTGTACTTGGAGTTACTGACAGAAATCTGACGTATTGAAATGTATGGGCACCAGGGCAGATATGGAGAACTCTCTGTTTTTCTAAAATGACAAAAACTCGCTATTTCAACAATCTGTGCGGTAATGATGACTAATGGTAATATGCACTTTTGGGTGGTATATCCAGTACTCGAAGTCACATGATCTCCATGGTATAATACCATGTAAATCCACGTATACAACCTTGCACTTTGACATACTATCCTAGTAACGGCTTTAATAATAATACCTTTCGAAGCTTACTAGGATTAAATACCGGATAAAATTTAATAGATTCCGGAAGATCGCTTGTCATCGCATGAGCCATCATTACCCGTCTACGAACAGTAACATGGATACCTGGGTAGGTATTTTCTGGCTTTTCCATAGGAAGCAATCTCGATTGCGATGTAAAGTTTTGAGTGTCCTTCTCCCTCTTTCTTCCACCGTACATCATTCCCGTGGTATTGTCCCAGCATCAGCCTTCTTCTCAATCTCCTGTCCTTTCTTCAAGATCTCAATCCCCTATTCCAAAATGCTCGTTCATAGCGGATGACCGAAGGCGATGGACCATTCATTGCCTTCGGCCTTGCCTTTTCCTTTTGATGCCGTGTCCCGTCCATCGTACTATTCCGTCCCATCGTCCCAATCGCTTCTTCAAGGCTCTACTACCTCTTAACATCATACTGCCCCTTCACAGTCTTCGCAGGTTGAACTTCGAACTCCACACATCCTGGACTACAATTATGTTTGAGGATTGGCACATTTTGAGACAGTTTGAATCGTTATTAGCTGCATTCGCTGCAGCAAAGATTAGCTTCCTTGGAACTGTGTAGTACATACATGCTCAGGATATCTCTTTTGATGAGAGAATTGGCTAGCTTTCCGTTTCGGCTCTTTTTGGCGCTCTGGCAGGTTGGGAATGATTCTTCAACAGGAACAGTTGATTTACTTTTGCGCCCATCTCTCCAGTGTACTCGCCTTTAGCGAGACAAATACACCCCGTCTCTCGCATTATAGCAGACTTAGGGTGATCCTCAGCTCAGCATTCCTAGCACCCACTGCTTCAGGAAACGCAAGGAACTAGGTTGTCTAAGCTTATTCGTAGAGCGGCACAATGGAAATGATACAACATTGTATAGAGTATCTTATAACCTTCCTGTCCTCTTCGTCTGTGACCCCAGAGCAAGTGGCAGTATTCTATGAGCCCGTGTTGGCTCACACCTATTCAAACACTCCAGATATGCTCAATTCGCGTAGTGATAGCGCGTATGAAAGGCGCAATAATGGAGAATGACCTCCAGGTCGCTATCCACAATCAGCTAATTGACCGTGTCGCGCGTAACCAACATAGCATGTCATAAGGGCACAGGCCATACGTTTGCTCCAGGTCGCAGTCGCACTTCTCAACTGCGTTTCCTCGACGATTGTCGCTCCTTATCATTCTTTCCGTTTCTTTTCACATCTTCTGCCCTTCTCAATCGCTTCGCATCCACCTTCCATCCTTTCGCAACACAAAGGTATGTGTTACCGAGGCGATATGCGTATTGTTTACCGTCTCATTCACTGACCAAACACTGATAGGCCATTCTCAATACTCTCATTCATTGAACGTGTTTCTACAAACGGCGACTGGACACGTTCAAATTCACATTCGTCATTCGTGCGGTTTTCGCGGTGTCCCGTCACAATGAGTATCAACCTTGTCCCGGAGCACATATCCTACGGACAGGCTTTTGCCAACACCCGGGAGCCCTACAAGATGCTAGAAATCCTTGCAAATAACCCGCATTCCCTGAATACCGGCATCGTTGACATCGAAGTCAGACCCGTGCCCGTGGCTATAAAGCCCAAGGGAAAAGCCAGTGAAGGACTTGGGGGTTATGAGTTGCCTTCCGAACGAGGTCGTTGACATGATTGTCAACCAATTGGACATCATGAGTGCTAACAAGTTCTCGCACGTCAATCGCCTCGCCAATCACTCTGTGCAGCGAAGCCCAATGTCGTTTCTGCGGCAATAGGCCCCCGGCATAGCAAAGATGCTCAAGCATACCCGGATCCATTTGTATCGGAACATCCTTCAGCTCAAAGAGGCAATCCTCCGCGAGACCTGCGTGGTTTGCGGCGAATCGTCTGTTCACCTCTACCTTCCCACCATGGAGCGTATCTGCCACCCATGCGTGCACGACAACCACGCATACTGGTATCTCCCCGTTGAACTGGCAGCTATCATCTTTGGTCTCGACATACCCGATCTCATTCACCCCCAAACTTTGTTTCTTCCACAGCTGAGTAAGATTGACTTTTACTACACGGACCTTGGAGCCTGGGTTGTGCCTATCAAGCTGGCGCTGACCGAAGCCCTGGAGAAGTATGGTAACTGTGAGGGCATCAAGCGAGCTTCGGAGGGTAAATCGCCACTTGCTGTAGTCGAAACGTTCGCGAACCCCGATGACGTGGAATTCGAGGTTGAAACCCAGCATGACATCTATCGCGCCACCAAGCTCGACTCGCCGACCCCTGTCCGAATGCGTTTGCTCGTGTCGTTGGGAAACTGCCACCGAACCGCTTACCACCATGAAGTCTCCTGCCTAGTCCCCGTAATCAACCGGGACAACACGCGCCAAACCCATTACTCCTGCCGTGGGTGCACTGCCATGCACACGTACAACAAGGGTGAACGAATCTCCGACATCAATATGCGGCTGATGCGATTTGATCCCGCCCTCGTCAAATATGAACGCTCGTTTGAAATCTTCCGTCGCGCCTTTCGTGTGTGGACTGAGGCGGATTTGATTAAGCATATTCGAGCCGAATGCATTGCGGGTTGGATCTTGATGTATTTTGAGGGTCAGAAAATGTGGCCCTGAGTGGCTTTATCGCCCTGGCTGCAAGAAGTGATGACAGCCAGTGGTGGACGGGGGAGCTGGAGAAGGAATGTATCAGGGGTGACTCTTGGGGGCGTTTGTGTTCAACGGAGCGGTGGAGGGTTCGAGGATTTCGATTTGAATGGATCGTGAAGATCTGGTTGGTTTTGGCGAACAATGTGTACTTTGAGCTTCCTACATAGGACAATAAAAGTACATAGCCGACGGCAGTTTGCTCTTGTGATTTTCTGCATTCTATGTGAATGGACCCTCTGATTCCCGTCTCTGTTTGACCTACGTCTCACTTTGTGAGAGTGGACTGATCTAAAAGGATCGATGGCTTCCATACAAAACGATAGGCCAGAAGCCCCCAGTAAACGCATCCATGGATAAACGAATGTATTAATTACTATATATCTTTATCTGTCCTCCCCTATCGCTTCCCATCCAAGAGTGCTAGCAACTCGCCATTCCCGACAACGACTATCACCGAATAATAGAATAATAAGACATTGCAATCACCCTACTCATCAGGCTGCCCAGATGATTGACCTCCTTTCCGGCCTGCCTCTCTGGCCCTCGGGTCTCCAGGCTCGAAGCTTCCTCCTGAAGCTTGACCGCCTTTCGAGGCAATGTCGTGCTGTATAGAGTCAAATCTGTTATCGTATATACAATAGGTGCTTCTACGAACCTGCTTGTTTGGATCCATAGAAGCGAATCCGCTCTGGTGGCTAGACTGCCCACCCGTGCGAGCGATATTCTCAACCTCTTCGTGAGGTCGGTTGGCGAAATTACCAGGGTTGGGGTTGTCGGACATAGTGAAGATATGTCAAGGTAGTGTTTTTCTTTTGGTATTGTTGTGCGATTTCTTCGATAATTGCAAGATAACTTGAAGGTACAAGAGGTCCTCTGAGGGATAAATTAACCGCTTATTTATGTGTGTCGCCAAGCTTGAGCTATTCATGATCTGAAGTCACCTTTGACGTCAGTCTACTTCGATTGGATATTTCCATCGCCACATACCAAACGCATCAATTTCAGATGATCAGAGGCATAGATAAAGCAGGGCAGAGTGAATGTGTGCTTGATGAGGCAATGCCAATGCCAAGTTTTCTTGTCTCTTGCTTAGCTTCGAGACCGGGCCAAAACTTGTTTGTACGAACGACACGTCACTATGAGTTACATACAGTTCGATCTGTATCTTTTCATAGGCTGGCCATAGGCTGACCCGATCGAAGAAAGGAGACCAAAAAGCATGGATTGTGTTGAACTCTCTCACGTGACCTAGGATCACATGCTTCCACATGTCTCCCATATCTGTAGATAGATTAGCTTCTCTCTCTCTCTCTCTCCTCCATCATCACTAGTACTACAATATCATCATTGTATCTACATGATCACCTCCATTCACCTGTAGCCATTCTAACAGATTGCGCGACTGACCGGTTTTCTATATGCTTCCTATTACTCGCGTTGCTGGTTTGACCAGCGCAAGTTGAAATACCGGTATATGTACAAAGGTAGGCCAAACGATATTTTCTATCGCTGCATTACGTTTGATGATGGTTTTGTATAAGCGGTGGATCGACTTCGTATATCAATAACGCGTACAGACCATTCTCTATCAAGACGCTATGCACTACAAGGACAGAAGTACAGGAGAAGGATGAAGAGACTTGTAAAGTTGAATTAAGAGAGAGAAACGAGAGCGAGCTTCAGACTAGCACACCTGGGGTGGATCAGGGCACCCGACTATCGACCTAAGCCTAAGACCACAGCAATAGTTCAGCTATCCCGTACAAAGTAGTGGAAAAGCAAATCACGGCAGATCTTCATCTGGACCCTCGCTGTACTTGTTCGAGGTTCTAGGCTTTGCGTGACGGAGACGGTCCCCCTCAAGATGTTGGAGTTATCGATCGCCTCTTGTTCGTCCTCCTCTAGACGATGTTAGTGGCATTCTAATTACTATAGAATTGTTTTAACAGAACATCAACCTACCAAGCTGCTGATCAGTATTGGAATAAGGAGGTTGCATTGGATCGTCAAATTGCTGATTGTCTCCCTGAACAGGGACTTGACCTTTCAAGTTTGGGTTGGTTACTTTCGCATAGGAGTCATCTCTGAAGGTTCCGGCCACTGGCGAAGGATCATTCTCCCTCTCGTAGTTATCTTCCGCGACTCTCTCGGTACGGTTCGACATCTTGTGGTTGGAGTAGACTGTGGAAATTTTTTAAATTTCGAAATTCGATCATCAAAATGAGGAAGACATGTCCAGAATATATAACGGTTGTTGAACGGAAAACCTGTTGTCAAACCAGTCATTGCATGACCAAGAGGTTGGTCGTGCTACCTGTTTCCAACTATTATGACCCATGGAATATGTAAATTCAAAGCCTGTTGGTGAATATATGTCGCTTACTTCAGAACGGAGGGTGATGACAGGTGAAGTTACGGTCACAGGCTATGGCTGCATCAGCTATTGCGATCAAATTGTGAGATCATAGTCAACGAAAACGCTTGATTTGTCGAGTTGAGAACTCATGTTTATCGCCAATGACCGACGACCCCTATATTGGATGGGGATACTTTCTAGGTGTCAACGGCTCGAGATAATGTCGAATTTTGGGGTCTCGAAGCTTAAGACCACGAAAACTAGTATCTTAGCTGGATATTATAAACGGCCGATACTAATTCCAATTAAATAACTAAATATCCCTTAGCGGACTCTATACATGAAAGCATGTAGTCAAGCCCTTGACATGGCGTAACCGTGTATTGCGGTGCATGAGGACTACTAGAGGATTTCCAAGTTGGGGAAGTTGGATGAACAAGATCCGCTCTCGCTCTATAGAAATAATTCTGTGCCAATTAGATCACATGGATATCTTAATTCCTAAAGGTGATATTTGGAGTGTCGATTGAGTTCCTTCAGCTACTTTCATAAATTCCTGATGATTCGTGGTTTGCACAACCGATGATCGAGTGTACAACATATTCACCAATCTAAAACAGTACAGAGAGCCATTGAAAAGAAGGACTTCAAAACAGGTAAGAGATAGATATTAAACTAGGAAGTGCTTGTATTGTCTTAGTTTGATAATGATGTAATTCCGGATGACGTCGGTCCCCAAAGTTATAAAATCCCGAGATCGCATCGATTCGACGATATATATTTATATATCACTTGTACAGACTGTGAATAATTGCGACCTTCGTACATATGTTGGCTTCTGACTTGGGGTATTCGATATGACGATTTTAGTCGCGCCTCTGTATGTGGTCATGGGTTTTCCTCGCATACGTATCTGATACAAATCGCCATCTAGTTCTCTCCCTTACATTGTGACCCGAAATTCATGCAGCTCTGAAATTCCATCACCAAATCCCCTCCTTCCTGAGAGCCTTAACTCACCACCGAGTGGAGGTAATGGTGAATTCAACAATGAGGCACTGCATGGAATTGACTTCACCCCGGATGCCACCCTAAACCACAAGCACATATTTACTTCCGATACACCCCTTCCACCAAAGAAGGGCATGGGCTATCCGTTTCCCTCAAAACCGCAGTTAAATGGTGGGCCTGTTAGGATAGGTCTACGTGGACGTCAAAGTGCATTGTGGAATGTGAGCAATTGATTGAGTTGAGAGTTGTAAAAGCTAAGTTACAGAAAATGAGATCCAACACCCCCCACGAACATGGAACTGTGCTCGTTATGACCCCCCATGAAACGAACCTGATTGTCGAAAAGGTTGTTGTAATGCACAATGGGATTGCCAAGAAGAGCATTGGCGGTAGTGGGTTTGTTGGCGGTGGTAGAAACCGGAGTGGCAGTGACTGCGTTAGCCGATTTGGCGTTAGCTGGGTTCTAGAAGCATTCTTCTGAAGTGTGACCGGTCTTCCGTTAATAGAAAGTGTAGAAGTGCTTTGGCTTGTTATTTGGCTTTTTGCCCTAGTAGGTTACGTTCGCGTCGTAGAAGACTAGATCGGAAGTGTAGTTTGAATAAGTAGCGAGACGTCGATTCTCGGAGACAACGAAGTCGGAGAATGTCCCGATGAGAACTTGCTCGGAAGCGTCGTTGCTCGAGGGACGAAGGCTGTTAAGCCACTGATAAGTAGCGGGATTGACGCTAACGGCGTAAAGGAAGAAGAAGTATTAAGCCGTATTCGAAATATAAGAGTGACCGTACGCCTCTACGAACTCTACGTAGGCGGTACGCTACTTAATAACGAACTACTATAGGGTAGTAGAGTTATCGTACTTAAGGGAAATCCACTTATAGAACTTGTCGAAACCCGTGTTATAGGTATAGACGGCGAAGGTCTTATAAAGACTCTAGTACGCGTCGGGAGCGTTAACGGCGGTGTTAATGTAAGGCTTAAGAGTTATATAAACTGTAGCGTAAAGGTAAGAGAGAAGGTGACGAGACTACCGAAGCCACTCTACGAGAGTAGGGTCCTCGGGACCTAGCTAAGTAATATAACCCGTAAGGATCTCGAAGAGATGAGGGTCCCGCGTATCGAGAGTATACTTAAGTGCGGTGGACCATAATATAAAGTTAGATTCGCCGGTAAGGGTAGGAACGAGCTCTAAGAGCTTTGGCTCCGCGAAGCTAGTTGCTAAGAATATCTTAAGGAGTACCTCGAAAGAGAGAGGCACTAAGTTGTTATGGAGTGCGTCGAAGAAGAGAGGCACTAAGTTGTTGTGGGATGATAGCACTTGATAAGGGCTGAAAACCTATATGCGTTTTGTTTGTTGTGACCGTTTGCTAGTGTCGAAAACTAGGTAGGTGCTGGTAGGTGGCCTGGCCGGTAGGCGCGTCGTCGAGAGAGGCGCTTGTTGATGGATGGCCTGGCCGGTAGGCACGTCGTCGAGAGAGGTGCTTGTTGAAAGATGGCCTGGCCGGTAGGCACGTCGTCGAGAGAGGTGCTTGTTGAAACCGTTATAGAGGTTTTGGGGGTGGCCTGGCCGGTGATGTCGATGATGACTTTGATTCAAAGCCACCTTGGCGGCAAGGTTGGAATTGGGGAACAGTCCAGATAACCGTGCCAAGCCCACCAATACCTACCCCAATGCCGGGTAGGTATTGGTGGGCTTGGCACGGTTATACCGCGAGCGGTCAGAAGGCTCGTAGGCGATCCTGAAGGAAATGAACCTAAGTTCGGTACAGTTCCTTGCCAACACTGCACTTAACCGGTCTAAACCTGTCTATAATTTGATATTTAAATTATAACCTAGAAGGGTAAGATCCATCAGTGAGCATGAGCAGGTTCTGACCGGCGTTTTCTTGAATTGTTCGGATTGGTCCACTACATCAAAATTATATGCTTGAACTACTTGGTCTTTGTGCATGACATGCGCCAAGCCAACTTGCTGGCTGTTAAAACAGGCTTAGGACATTTTCCCATTGCACTCAACGAATACAAATTCACATAGGCGTCCTGAAGAAAAATGTCTTAATCATATTTTGAACTGAAAACAATGGCGCCCTATGCTCAAAACCAGCGGAGACTCATAATCGTCTCAAACCGCCTTCCACTTTCCGTCAAGCCCAAGGACGGCAGTTACGAGGCGGTTCCGTCCAGCGGGGGATTGGTGACCGCTCTAAAGGGGTTGACCTTTTCCGACTATCTGTGGCTAGGCTGGCCCGGGGTTGATATCAATGAACGGGACAGAGAAAGTGTTGATAAAGCCTTGGCCAAAGAAAATGCCGCTGCAGTATACTTAGATGAGGGTTTAGCTCAGAGTCATTACAATGGATTCTCCAGTACGTGACCTATATTTCGCTCTATTCACCATATTGCTGACCAGGCATACTTAGATGGTGTCTTATGGCCCACGTTACATTATCAGTCGGAAGTGTCTTTCGACAATGAGACGTGGGACGCGTACCAGCGCGTTAATAAGATCTTCGCTGATCGAATCAGTGAGGAGGCGGCGGATGGTGACCTAATATGGGTACATGATTATCACCTACTCCTGCTGCCACGTCTACTGCGTGAGCACCTACATGCGCAGAACAAAAGATGTCCTATAGGATATTTTCTGCACACCCCTTTCCCAGCAGACGATTTTTGGAGAGGCCTGCCTGTTCAGAAACAGTTGCTTGATGGTGTCCTTGGTAGCGACCTCATCGGCTTCCATACCGATGAGTATAAGGCGAACTTTGCTGGTGCCTGCAGTTCACACGTGTAAGGCCCGGGGAGTAACATTTAAATGACAACTGACTAACTAATTTATCAGTGGGGCGGAAGTTGAAGGCGGCAATATCCACTACAACGACCGTACTATTAGCATTGATAAATATGTCGCGGGGATTGATTACCAGAGATTTGCTGATACAATCGATGATCCTGGGGTTGAGGCTAAAATCCAGGAGCTCGAGACCCAGTACAAGGATAAAACGATCATAATTGGCGTGGACCGCATGGACTATACAAAAGGATTGCCTGAGAAATTGGAGGGCTTCCGAGTCTTCCTCGATCAACATCCTGAATACAGCGAAAAGGTTGTGTTAATACAGATCGCCATTCCGAGTCGCGAAGATGTCAAGAAGTACCAAGACTTGGAGGGAGAAGTGAGCAAGCTTGTGGGCCAAATCACTGGCAAATATGGTAAGTGGCTTCAGAAATTGACCCGGCTGCATACCCACTTCTGGTACAGGGGCGTGGAAAATTTACAGATTTCATGCTAAAATATAATCAGCTACTCCCAAATCGACACCATTGCTCTACATTCACCGCTCGGTTTCTTTTGCGGAGCTTACAGCTCTGTACTCTGTGTCTGACGTCTGTCTCCTCACTTCACGCCGGGACGGGATGAACCTTGTTGCTTCCGAGTACGTCGCTTGCCAAGAGGCTCGACACGGTGTGTTGGTGCTCTCTGAGTTTGCCGGTGCAGCAGTCTTCATGAAACACGGCAGTCTGTTGTTCAATCCTGCTAATGCAGATGGCCTCTCGAATGCACTTTACGAGGCTATTACAATGGGAAAGAAGGACAGGAAGAAGATGTATGAAGGGTTGCGGAGTTTTGTCACCACTAACACTAGGTTAGTTGTTTCCTTTCTATCATCCTCCCATCCCCTCAAGTTCCTCATCTCCCGCCAGAGGTCCGTCAGGCCTCGTAATCAGCAAAGCTAACACCCATTTTCCTTTAGTGCAAAATGGACAGAGGCGTTCGTTGGAGAGCTTATGAGACTGCAGAAATAGATAGCTTTTAGAGTAGTTCCAATGCTCTTTGACATGGCAACTAGCGTTGTCGGAACCGTCTGACTGCTTCACTGGTATATCCGACTGTCCCAGGACGGCCTAGCTAACGTCCAGACTCATGACCATTCCGACGAGGACGTGGTATGACATGGGAACTATCGGCTTTCAATGTCGCATATCACAAACAATGGAATGTCGTATATTGATTTTTTCTTGGTCGTTTTTCTCGGTCAATTTATATTCTTTATACTTCATTTTTTTGACTTGGCCGGAGTTAATAATGCCGGTGATCTAGGCATAACGACGGGAATTGTTATATCTAGCGTAGCGTACCCCTATAATAGCTTTTGTATCGTCGAACTCCCGTTAGCTAGGAGGCTAAAGTTGCCTACCCCCCCCACTTTATAAGCTTTGCTAGCCCGTCTTTAAACCGCTAGGTATTAGTATTATATCGGGTAGATAATAGCTAATTTTCCGGAATTTCTTAGCGGTTTTTAGGGTGCTAAATTGTAATGGATAAGTCCATACAACCCACAAAGTGGAGAAATCTCGGTCGCATTGGGGCATATGCGCATATAGTGGAAACTCTGGTATGATAACCTGTTCGGTTATCATAAGTGGTCTTTTTGGTTAATGCTTGCATTTTCCATTAAGAGTATTCCTTGTGGAGAATATTGGTCCAGAGCCCAATTTTCCCTTACATAAATTCGGTATTTTAAGAGTAAGTTAACGGGATATCCGGCCGTAGTAGATTATTATAATATAGATTATATAAATCTAATTTATCGGTAATTAGCTTAGGATTAATAGGCTAAAGGCCTATTAATCTAAACCTAAGCTTACTTATATATAGCCGGAAGGTTTTTCGTCTAATTTCACTAATTAAATATAGGAATTCATCCTTCAAAAATTTGCGGCATCTACTTATAGTAGCTGCTTTAATAGCCTTACTATACTAGTGTTTATATATATTAAAAACCCCTATATTAAGGGGTTATAGTATATAACTAGTATACGAGAGTAAAAAGAACAAAATAATATTATTTTTCTTATAAAATTCGATAATTGAGACGTTAAATATAATCTAAAACGATCGCAAAGAACCAGCCGTTTTGTACTAAGGGTACGGCCAATTATCTATTTATAGAAGAGTTAAATCTATTAAAATGCTAAAGTATTATTAATATACCCGGTATCTATAATAGCGATATATTTATTACCCTTACTACTAAGGTTGTTAAACTAACGTAGTAAGGCCTATTTAGCACTTAGAATAATTTAGACTGCGACAACGCCCGTTAAAGTGGAGACACTTTTAGCGTCGCCAAGACATATGCGGGCACTCTTGGCAAAGTGGATACTGCCAAGATCTGGTTATGTACATAAAATAGCCTAATAGGGTAATTTTTGCATTAATTTTGCATAATGGTGGGCGATGGGCGTCAAATTTCAAAAGGCCCACGGGCCGTGGACACTTTCTAGTGCCCATGGACGGGCGATGTCGCAGTCTAGAATAATTAGTAGCGGGTAGGTAAAACCGTCAGCCGAAATAGCCTCTAAAACTGTAATAGATTTACGATTAGTAATAGATCTATTAAATAGCTTCTTTTTTAGATACCTAGTAATAATAGTAATAATAAATTAATCGCGTCCGACGCTAATTTAGAAGCTAGTTTCGTCGAAATTATAGATATCTTATTAGCAAATTCCGTGCTTATTAATCACCCGCTAGTAGTCTTTAAACTACCTCTTAACCACTGATTTGTCTAATACCTTTGCCCGTTCGACGTCTAGGGCCCGCCGCCGCCGTATACTATATTTAGGGTGCCGTTTAAGAAAACGTGGTAGCTAGTAGGCACTGATTTATGGTAGATTAAAAACTAGACCGGTATGATTATATTAAAGAATTGAATTGGTAGTAATAGCAATTTGACGGCGGTTAATCGACGCTCCGACCGAATCGAGGTAATCGATATATTTATGTAAAGCCCCTGTGATCCCAGAGGCCCCTTTATTGTAACTAAATCAGCATCATTGGTTCCTATGCCTGTCCGTACGGGACATGCCAAGAACCGAACCTGCGTTTCCGAACCTGCGTTTCCGGGTGCTATGGGCACCCGTACTTGATGGTATTTAGACATTAGTATTCCCAACATAATAGAAACCATGCGATACTTCACGAATCTCACCCCTCCTATATAGGAGTAAGCTTCCTGCTATTGGGTTATCGTTGAAAAGGGGATTTTCCACCTTGCCATCGCCGGCGTAGCCGGTGCATAGGAACCGCGAATTCTCGCGCAGTTTTCGTAATATTAGGTTTAGATTGCTCATAGAGGTGCTCTATAGCTAGCTGAATCTGCTTCTCGATTTCTTGATTGATTGTAGACATAATGGTGGTGTGGTTGATGATCAAATTGAAAGGTTTAGATCTATGAAGGGTGGCAGACCCTCGCTTAGCGAGGGTCCGTTTTATTGCCTGGGAAATAAAAGTGGGGCCGGTTAGTGAGTGGTAACCCAACACCCGCAGGGGGTGGGGTTACTTGGCAAGAACCGGGCAGTATACAACATACAAATGCTTCAAGAAGGCGGTAATGAAATTGGCGGTGAGGTGATAACCAATGAGAGAGTTATGTTTGGATGGCCCACTTAGTCGCCCGTACCCACTGTCAAAGACTCAGCGCAGATCAACCATTTCCAATATTGTACGAGTTTGCTGTAAAAAGTCGTTCGAATATAGATCAAACTGGAAGAGAAAAGGGAGATAAGATAAAATTAAAGCTCATTCGAATGATACCGTTTACTTATCCTGTTGATGCCGTGAAATATCTTTTCCGCAGTCAACTTATCAGATTACCAAAGGATCAAAATTTGAGAACGGCGAGTTGCTGTAGCTGACTAGTCATCGTGATGTTTAAGTTTGGCGTGAAGTCAACGATGAGGACTGGGTAGGCAGTCGGCCTTTATTGATACACCGTAAGTGTGGCCTCTGGGATCATTTTATGAATGAGTTACTTTGTATGGTCGCACATTCTGGATATAATTCCATAGCTTAGCACGTCCATATACCCCATGGAAGGTAGATACTACAACAACTCTTGTTTCTGGCTTCCACTCGTGGCCTCAGGCATAGCTTCAGTTACAGTCCGTGGCCTATATCCCCAATACAGAGATCAACCTTACTGAACATAGGCAGCCTCCGTCAAGTAAAGTTACGCAGGTCTGCGACACAGTCGCAGTTGCAACCCACTGCCTTGTCTCATTCTCATCAAACCCCCGATTCCATAGCTCTCGTGGCCTAAAATCCCGCGCACACTGGCAACGTATGTGTTGATAATCTCTACGGCTCTACATATGTATGGGATGTTCCAAAATGTTCATACGAGAAAACTAGCTCTCCCAAATATGCAATCGAAATATTCACAATTGCTCCAAGCAAGATCTCAAAATATGTTCAGCGACAGTATTCAGCCAACGCAGTGTCAGTACCAGCCTGCAGCACCAATACACTGCCGTAAATCTTACTCTCGGGGTGGACCATCGCAGTCCCGACGGCTCCCAGAGCCCGACGGGTATCATAGCCAATGCCGTCGTCCGAAAGACCCAGCTCAATCTCAGAAGAGATACTACGACGACCAACGATGACAATATTGTTCGCCTTGTTGGATGTCTGGTTAAGTTCTTCGCGCACAGAAACAACAGCCATTTGAACTGCGTCGGTGATGCTCTCGTTGGCAGCTGGTTGGTGGAAGACGACGCGCTCTTGAAGTTCCTCTGGCACTGAATCACGGAGCGTCTCGAAGAAGACCGTGTCGGATTGAGAGCTGGACGCGGGGACCGCACTTGAAGTCGAGCCAGAGGCTGCAGTCGACATCTCTGTTTTGCTGCTATCACTGCCCAATCCGCCGATTTGAATAACAGTCACAGTGACCTGGTCATTCTGAGCGAGCTGCATGACCAGTCGAAGAGCGAAGCGGTCGTCGTCACCGCCAAAGAATGGAAGGACAATATGGTGGGAGCGGCTGCCAGTTGACTGGCGGGCGAAAAAGGAGCCCTGGAGGCTCATACCGCTGGCGGTGCGGGAGACCACGGGGCGCTTTGATGAGGTTGAGACTGGGCTGTATTCGATTAGGATGCCTACATGGCCGGGGACCCGCTCTAGGATATCAGAAACGAAGCTTGCGTAGGCACCGTTGGAGAAACGATTGGCTTCGTCGATATCTAGTCCGTTATGATGGTCGGCCAGTGTGCCAGTCTCGCTCCAGGGGAGAAGAAGCATATCTGCGGTGTCTTGCTGCGCCATGCCGATGACAGTGTCTGCGTAAGAGTACTCGGGAACAACAGATACACCAGCCATCAGCGACAGATCGTGCCAGTCTCCGAACGCCCGGAAGGTGTTGACCACTGGATCCCATAGCGCATGCTCACCCGCAGCAGCAACCTTCATGACACTGGAATCACGGTCGGTCAATTCCATTAGCCTTACACCGTGCACCTTGAGTGCCGCGTTGTCATCCTCTTCTTCGGTAATAGGATCTTCGACATTTTCCTCGGTTTTCTTTGGCATCTTCGCTGGGTGAATACGTGATGACACGGATGCACGTCGCTTTGGGCTGAGGAGGGCTGCCACAGTACAAACACCCGAAAGACCGTCGAGACGAAGATAGACGAGGAGCTTGCGTACTGGGACGGTCTTCAACTGGTCCTTGGCAAGGGCGACGCTGTCATTGCGGTTATCGTGCTGGACAGGGTTGCCTTCCCAGTCAATTTCGCCGCGTCTCCATCTCTCGACCTTGATCTGATACCATGTTGGATATAGCAAGGTTGTTAAGGGAGTAGTAAGGAATGTGGTGACCAAGGCCATCACGACAAAAATTGTAAACGTGCGAGTGCTCAAAATCTTGGCTTGGAGGCCAATGTTCTGTCATAATTGAATTAGCCTACATTCACAATCGGGAAACTTCGTCTGGCGTCAGTACTTACCAGCACAATTAATTCCACCAAACCCTTGCAACTCATCAACACACCGATCGAAAAGCTCTCACGCCATAATAGGCCACAGAGCCGGGAGGCAACAGCACCTCCGGTGACCTTCGCAATGAACGCGATGGCAATTACACCAACTACATAACCCCAGACGATTCCAGAGTCAAGGAGGCCCAGGTTGGTACTCAGACCAGACAAAGTGAAATAAAGGGGCAGGAAAATGACAGCGACCAAGTCCTCAATTTTCTCAGTGATCTTGATAGCAAAGCCGCCTTCATGCGGGCAGATCAAGCCGATAACAAAGCCTCCGAAAATGGCGTGAACACCAATAATCTGCGTGAAGAAGGCTGAAGCCAAAGCAATGAGCAATGTCAGGGCGACCACCGACTGGCTGGGCCCTTTTTGCAGGCTACCTGTTTTCTCCAGGAAGCGAAGGAACAGCGGGCGGAAAGCGAAAGTCAAAAATAACATGTAGGCAACGCAGACTAACAGCACCCACAGAGCCGTGATGCCACTGCCCGCGTTGACAAGAGCGACGCACAGTGCAAGCAGGATCCAGCCCACCACATCATTACCAACACCGGCGGACAGCACGATGACACCGACCCGGGTTGAGAGCAGCTTCAGCTCCGTAAGGATACGACACAGCACGGGGAAGGCCGTGATGGCCATGGCAATACCGATGAACAGTAGATAGGTACCGAAGGCGATAGGCTTGGTACCAGGGTCATCGTGGAACGAGTGATAGAGTCCATACGAGATGGCACAGCCCAACCCGAATGGCAGGATCATGCCCGCAGCAGACACACTCAAAGCGACCCGCCAATTACTGATCAGGAAGCGGAGGTCGGTCTCCAGACCGACCAAGAATAGAAAGAGTACCAGGCCCAGATTGGCGACTACATTGAGGCTGGGGATGCTGGCGGTCGGGAAAATGGCATCGGTAAATCCGGGGATGCGACCCATCACCGATGGGCCCAGAATAATTCCCCCGATAACCTCAGCGATGACTCGGGGCTGGCGAAGCTTGGAGAGCGGCCAGTGGATCAGACGACATAGCACGATAATTATGACAGCCTGCTTGTCAGTTAAATTACCGTTATTTTGGATGGCGACATAGCTACCTGGATAATAAACAACACCAGTGGGTTCTTGGAGTCATAATCGGTTGGGTTGCCACCTTCGAGAATGCCACCCTGTGGACTAACTACGTTGGTGCTGCTGGCCGTAGCCGTAGCCGTCGCGTTGGTTGCCATACTGGATAATATCCAGCTTCGGCAAAGAGAACAGGCAAAGGGGGGGGTTATAAGTCAAGTTGGAGAAGATAAATGAAAGTGAGGGTCAGCCTGCGCTAATACGAGGAGCCAATAAGATTTCCAGTTGCCATGGATCTAGTCAACTTGGTTTGCAACGGTAAATCACCAGCAGTCAGCTTATTGAAGGGAACCGCATGCGGCCTAGCAAGGCATATTTACGACATTCCTCCATGTTACTATATATTACTATAACTATATGCATATTGTACGGTATCTTGAAAATAATAAATTATCAATAACCTCCTACTCCTAATCTTCTAACCTCCGCTATTTTTAAAGTTCCCACGTGGTGATGTTGACAGCTCGGGCCTTTGGCGCCAAAGGCAGATGATCTACCCCAGATTTATCTACCCCAGATACAATCTTTTACCTACTCCTCTCTTGCAGATCTTATAATATGTACCTAGGTATTGGTTATGTAGCTTGCTGGGATCTACTCTCTTCATTAACATATATTTTAGTCTCGTTTACAGAGAATATATATATACAACCTGTCATTCCCACTATGTTACCTCCAAATATATATAACAATTTCCGGAGTCCTAACATACTAATCACCATTCTCCTGGCATCCCTTTCTCTTTATATTCCATTTAAATCTATGGATGTATCTTAATTCGAATCCATTTCACTTATCCCCTTACTTTAGCTATCACTCGCGCCGAAAAGTAACACAAAAGGTACTTCGGAAACTTAGCTCACACATGGGCTTTACCGTATGATATTATCATATTGTGCCTTCTTAGGATTAGACTGTTTTCAAATAATGCCCTTTTTTCTTCAGATACATGTTGAAAATGAACGTTTTCATCCTTCTAGGTCGGACTTTGCCCCAGCCTCGATAAGGATTTTCATAGCAGATTACACTCAGCCTCAAAGCCAAGCGTAGTTATTCTCCATTTGAGTCTTTCGCTAAGCTTACTATCTCTGTAATAGGCGAGATGACGCCATAAGCCCTGATTAGCAGGTCATCGAGGTGCAAGCCTGCCTATCTATTCGGCGCGGTCCAATGTGGGTACTTTTAGCCCCCGTACGCTAACTACATGAGCCCTAAGTCATAGACTAGACCGAAACTAGTATCGATTGATAGAGCAATGCGGTGACTATAACATTCGACTCGCCGAACATCCAACTTCTGTTTTCTTCCCAGCACAACTTTGCCTAGAAAGATATCGACCACCACTTCGGACTTTTGGTCTTTCTTTTCGAGAGATTCGAACATCATTCATAACCGTCCCGAGTAGATAACCATGGCCCCCAAACCTAGCCGCCTTGCTTCCATTCTCCGTCCATGGGCCCTGATCTGGTTGTCTATTTGTCGTAAGTCCTTGTTACCCCGCCAATTCCCACAATTCTACCAAACACTCAACTCTACAGTGCACTGGGAAGCTTTAACACAAGCCGTTCGTCGTGATGGTCTCTCAGCACTTGGCCGCCCACTACAAATTCGAGATGTCGCTTCAGCCAAGTTGCTCAGTATAGCCTGTAATCTAACCCACTCACCATATCCCCCCACTTAACTTGTGTACAGAGTAGACTAACCATCATACACAGCTGACGGTTTTATCGCTTACGAAGACACAACTATTGTTCCTTCGCTTGTACAAGCCGCTGGCGGCATTGTTCTCGAACTAGGTCCTGGGCCAGGCAATCAGATTCATCGTTATGATACCTCTATTGTCAAATATGTCTATGGCATTGAACCTAATCCCTACTTCAAAGATGGCATAAATTCCAGATTGGACAAGCATGACCTGCGGGATAAATATAAGGTCATAGTTTGTGGAGTGGAAGATAGCGATATCCTAAGAGCAGAGGGAATCACCGAGGGGAGTTTGGATGCCGTGTTATGCATCCAGGTCTTGTGTGCCGTAAAGGACCCGAAGAGTGTGATGAAGGAGGTGTGGAAGCTGCTCAAACCTGGTGGCAAGTTTATATTCTGGGAACACGGATGCAGTAGAGACCGTTTGACCAATGTGGCGCAAGGTATGTCTATCTTTTGCCAACCTTTCTTCCTTCCTGGGTGACCGACTAACATGAAGAAACCTTAGCTTGCTGGAATCCGGCTTGGAGCACATTTGTCGGATGTGATTTGACACGGAATGTGTTGGCGGACATTCTCAGCAGTGGAGAGTGGGAAAATGCACACGGGATTGAAGAACCCGAAGAGCCGTTTAGTTTGCTGCCTCGGATTCAGGGTGTGCTTGTCAAGAAAAAGTGTTAATTAAACCCCGATTATGCTGCATATTCCTTCACATATGAATGGAGAAATGCAAGCAGCCACGAAAGAATCTGTAATGCGACACCTGGGAGCACAACATATATCTGCTCCGTCTTTCAAATGCTCCTATAAAGCATGTGTGGATAAGCCTTACTTTCTAATGCCTTGAGTGCGAGGTATGTCGGATTGCATACTCAAATCCAATTGATTTTGAGGTTAAATACTATGAATAAAGAGACAATGAAATATGTCTTGATAAAAAGAATGCATTTAGTCTAATTCAGTCTATCTGGCATTTAAAGAATCATAACAATGCAAACTAACTGTAGAGCGGATCAAAGGAAACACCGAAATACAACTCTTAAAGAGGAAACAAACGACCTTCCACAGGTCATTACTAGTTTGACGAGTAGATGTAGAGCCATGTAGCCCATAGACGGCAAGCTGGAAGAAATGACTCTTACGAAAGGGCGCATTTACCAGATTGAGCCACGAGGGGAGGAGCCGATAGGCGGGGAGCCGATAAACTCCGTTTTCGGTTCACTCCGGAGGTCGATTATTGTCTTAGACGCAGCTTGTCCCCTTTTACCCGGTAGCTCTGGCCATTGGAACGATACAGAAGATTTCCTTGATGCCATGGTCGCATCTGAGCTGCTGTCTCCTGCAGAATTCCTGTCTTCCAATCCATGAGTCATCATCCGAGCCCGCCGGGCGATGATAGCGCGAGCGGGAACACGGTGCAGGATCAAATACTCATTGTGCAGGTCCCCGTACGTCGTCCCTGAGACATCCACCTCGAGAGTGTGAGCCACTTCGCCAGCGCGGTACACATACCCATGGCCAAGATGACTCGTTTCGATCTCGAGGATTTGAGCACCTTCGCCGTACGAGCGCCATTTGCGACACATCCAGTCTTCGGCCTGAGTCTTGCTGGCGAAAGCAGAGATGAATATGCTTCCGTCTTCTTCTTTGATCCCATTGATGTGGGACTGAACGACACTTGCAAATTCTTCTGAGTCCTCGGTGAATGTTGTCACGTCAGATGCAACTAGCCCTATCTCCGCGTCCTTTGTGAAAGACTTGTCATGCTGGACCCGGTAGAGACGCTCGGGGATTTGGGTCCGGGGGACGCAATGCTCGTCCATTTTGGCTGGGTTGAGACTGTTTAATAGTCTGGGATGAAGATGGTTGATCTGTTGAGAAGGGTAAAATTGGGAACAGTTGATGGTAGAGTGATTGATACAGGACGTAGGGGGAGGGAATAGCTGGTATATATATCCCATCTGATGCGTAGAATGGATGGCTCCGTTGGATTTCACTTACTAGAACAAAGAACCAAAGATGTTCAGTATGAAAGAAGGAAGTAAAGAATTTGAGACTTGTGAATCTCCACAATGAGGTTTTTTATCTGAAGAGAAAGAATGAGAAAGAATGTTAGTTAATCTGATGGCCAAGCTCTATACAACTTCAAGATATGAAGAAAGGTAACAAAGGATGTATAGCAGTCATACGTGTTGGAATGAACAAAGCGAAAGTAGGTGATGAGGCGTTTGATTATGTATTTTCAGGTAATTCCTTTGTCGGTGAATGTACAAAGACGCCAGGTATCAAAATATGCAGTAAATGTACAAGAACAAGCATCTCATATAGAGAGACCAAAGCAGGCCAAATGAAATGAGAAACAAACTGGCAACCCTCTACCAACTGAATCCATTAAGCTTTCTTTGTCTTAGCCTTAGAGCTCCGCACCCGGAAGAGGTAATAGAGCGAGATGGCAGCAAAGACATTGAAAATGAAATAGCACCAGAAGATTCCATAATTTCTCCAGCGATCTCCCCACTCAATCTTCCTCCCAGCGAGATACTGATCTGCTGAACTGAGCGAGCAGTACTCACAGCCAGACGTGGCATTGTAATTAGCAAGTGTTCCGGGCGCAGTCGCGAGGAACTTCTCCATATACTGGAAGCAGGTCTGACCAGCAGGCGGGTCAAAGACACTCATCTCCGCATCATTACACTCAACCGGACGGCCATGGAGCGCTGTAGCTCCGATGCCGCCGATATAGTAAGTGAACGGTGAGACGCGGTACATGAAGATCCAGAAGCCGGGAAGATCATCAGGTGGCTGCATGACGCCGTTGAAGATAAAGGAAAGACCGAACATCAGCGTGGCGAGCATCGCTGCGAGTGCGGGCTCGGGAATTGCACAGACGACTAGCTGTGCCATGCTTGCGGCGTAGATGTAGAATTGGACGATGAAGAGCATGATCAGGGAGCGGCGCTCGGAGTCTTGATCGGCGCCGAAGACGCACCAGTAGAAGCAGGCCCAGGAGCAGATGCCGAGGCAGACTTGGAACGGGATTTCGACGAGCATCTGGGATAGGATGAAGACTTTCCAGGAGTAGATGCGGGATGGGCGTTCGCGGACCTCGTAGAGGGAGCGCTGGACGACAAATTTGGGCATGATCTGGTTGACAAGAGTGTTGAAAATTGTGCACAGCAGGAAAATACTGAAAAGCACGTTTTGGAAACCTTGTTGGCTGTTATCTGCTTTCCAGAATGAGAAGCCGATGAATAGACCGGATACAATGCCCAAAATGAACTTGGAGTAGACGTATTCTGGCTGACGGTAATACTGTTGGAAAACTCGTCCAAGGACATAGTACAACTGGCTGCCGAGTGGCATGGCGAACTCGGAGTTGTCGTCATCAGACTCAGAATCCTCTAGGGAAGGTCGAGGAATAGCCGGCTTGTGGGCGTGATGAAGTCGTTCAACCTCAGCATGTACCTCTTCATACTCTGGGCTCTTGTTCCAGGCTTCAACCCAGTCGATTGAGCAAGAATCTCCGGCAACCATTTCCAGAATGTATTCAGCGGGGTTCTCGAGTTGCTCACATGGTCGAGCGCCATTGTTTTCAAAGTATTTTAGAAGAGTGGAGGATTGGCTTCCGATATCGCCAAAGTAGACAGTTTTTCCTCCCTTGGCGAGGAATAGCAAACGATCGAATGTTTGGAACAACTGCGCGCTAGGTTGGTGGATTGTCGCGAGGACAGCCTGGCCATGGTCTGCAAGTCTTCTGAGGAACTGACAAATAGTCCAAGAGCTTTGGGAGTCGAGGCCGCTGGTGGGCTCGTCGAGGAAGATAAGGAGGGTAGGCTTTGCAGCAAGTTCGACACCAATACTAAGCAGCTTCCTTTGCTCGACGTTGAGACCCTCTCCGAGGCTTCCAACCACCGCCTCGGCGAAATCTTCCATGCCTAGGACTTGGATAACTTGTTCCACGTACTCATATTTGTCCTGCTTGGTAACCTTTTGAGGCTGACGAAGCATCGCACTGAAACGCAAAGCTTCTCTCACAGTGGTACTGTCAAGATGAAGATCTTGTTGTTGCACGTATCCAGTCCGACGGGGGAAATTTGCCGCAAGACCCTTGCCGTTCACGAATATATCACCAGATACAACACCAATGGAGACTCTCTGTGCAAGAACATCAAGAAGTGTTGTCTTTCCGGCTCCAGAAACACCCATCAATGCAGTCAGGCTACCAGGCTTAACCCAGCCATTGACATTGTCCAGGAGTCGCCGGGTCCCCTCCTTCACGGGGATGTCGTAGTTGAGAGAGTTCCATGAGAGAATATCATTTTGCTCAGGAAGACGGATGGTGTCATTGGTTCTCTGCAGCTCCAGCTTGTTGACCTCCTCTCTTCCAAGCTCGATGTTGTGGCCTTCCTGGAGATACTTTGGTGCATGTCCAGGGCGGAAGACCAATGCCTCGGCCTTTGACTTGTCATCAGTAATGTACTCTGTGGCAGTCAAGTAGAGCGCATTGAGGGCGATGAAAAAGGCGATGAGGATTCCGTAGTTCCGCCACAGATGAGAGTGCTTGTACTCGTAGTTCTTCTCGATGAAAGCATCCCCAGATACAGTTCGCTGACCGGCGACTGCACCGACGGTAGAGCAGATAAAGGACGTTCCAGTTCCATAACTTGGGATGAACGAAGAACAGTCAAATGTTCGACCATGGAATTCATTCGCCACGAGTCCTTCGAAGGTATAGTAGATCGGGTTGATCCACCGGATCCACGAAAGCCATGGATGCATGTACGGCTGTGGCAATGTAAATCCGGTATAAACGACAATGCAGAGCACAAGCACACCAGCAATCGCCATAGCCTGTCCAACAGTTTTGGTCAATGCACCGACACTGCGGAACAGGCCAGACATGGCCAGGACTGCAGTGAGCAAAAACAGGTAATGGATGAAGAAAGCTCCCGCTTCCCGGCGCAGGTTTGCCATGAAGTAGAGGACAACCGTGAAAATCGAGATTCGTATGATCTTGATCGGTAGGTCGACGACAAGGCTGGCTAGTGCTTCAGTGAACGGGTGGACAAATGCATATCCAGCTTGCTTTTCGACAACAGGACGCTGAGCATAGAGTTGAAGGACTTCATTGATCGTAAGTAGGGCGTTCATAAGCACAGCGAAGTACATCACCGCGCCCTTTTGAAAGAAGTAACTGGGTATGTCCGGGGTATTGTAGAAGATGGATCCAATGATCAGAGATAGAACGATCTGAACAATAACCGGTGCCATGGCTGTTGGGAGATCTTGGAGCATTCGCTGGCAGGCTCTACGCATGCAGAGCCGCACCTGCATGGGGACAGAGAGCAGGAAGGGGCTGCGAGCTCGAGTGTGGTGGGCTTGTCGCTCTTTGTGGCTTTCCATGAGCCTTTTTGCGTCGGCTCCATTTGGCGGATATTCACTTTCGAAGTTGGAAATACCCTTGTGTAAGAGCTGATACTCGGAGCTCTTTTTCCAATGCTCGGAAAATTCCTTCGCTGTGCGAGGAACCTTGCTCTCCATGCCAGGCCGCGCCGTGCGTTCTGCGGGGTTAGTGATAGCAGTCAAGAAGTCACCGCTGACTTGGCGCTCTGGTCTCTCCCAGCCCATGTCTTCGAAATAGGATACTGCACGCTCCCTGGGTCCATAGTAGATCTGATATCCCTCGTATAGAAGAACCACCTTGTCGAAAAGATCATACATTGACTGCGATGCTTGGTAGGCTGCAATGGCATGGCAGGACTGGCCCATATCAGCTGACAGACGCAGTGATTTCACAAACTTTAGAGCGGATGCGGCATCTAGACCACGGGTGCTGTTGTCCCATGCTCCGATGCGACAGCGAGCCAGAAACATCTCAGCAATACTGACTCGCTTTCTTTCGCCTCCACTGACACCACGTACGAACTCGCTGCCCACCTTGGTGTTGTAGGTGTGGGACAATCCAAAGACGGACAGGACCACCTGAGTGATTGTCTCAACGTATTCGTTACGAGTCACACCTTCCACACGTTGTTGGGGCGCACGAGCATGGGCGGCGAATGTGAGGGTCTGACCCACGGTCAAATGGGGGAAATGTAGGTCGACCTCCTTGTTGTATGCGACCTCTCCTCGGTGATGTTTGATCATATGGTCAAATGCAACTCCTTTGTAGTGAAGTGTACTTTCGGGCTCCACGGTCAAACCCCCAAGGTGTCCGCAGATAGTCTTCAGTAATGTCGTACATCCACTACCGGGTCGACCCAGGACAAGAAGAAGTTCTCCTCCCTGGAGTAAGCCATCGAAGTTGCGGAGGATTTGTCTTGGTGGTGAGGCCCGCCCAGTCAAGGCTCTTGTTGCAGCTCGGAAGGGCACTTTCAAACTGGAAATGAGGGTTTCCTGGTATTGTAGAGCGGAGCCAGAACCACTGACGCATAAATTGGAGAAGACCACGCCTTGGTTGGGGATATCAATGCCTGAATCGTTGACCTGGTCCAACACCATTTGCGCCCATCGGCGATGATCAAATTGGGGGTCGGTAGGATCGAGGTGGGGGACGACACCTTTCTTGCTAGCGGATCTTGAAAGTTGTTGGCCGAGTTTGCTGGAGGCGATACGAGTCAGTGTTTGTTGTTCTCGCTCTTCTAGCACAGTTGCACTTCGCCCCGTGATTGGGGCGAATTCGGGCTCATCGTAGTCCTTCTCCATAGCGAGGAGTGAACTAGTGTGTGTAATTGCGTTAAGAGTCTGAGCTCTAGGACCAGGCATCAGGCGAGCCCGACCCTTTTAATGAAAATCATCTCATCGGGGGACGGACAACGTAGTGACCGGAGTTATCCATATTTACTTCATTGGGGTAGAGGCTCAATGTATAACGGAGGAACGGACTCCGCTTCACCGACCGAAATATAGTACGGATACGTACATATAGGTAGTAATCTATTATTAGTTCAACAAGTCCTATTCCAATCTGATCGATAATTATATATAAACAATTCATAAGGAAGATATAAAGAATATAAAAAGGGGCATTTGCTTGCATACTACATGGCCGAATTTCCACTAGTTGCTACCCGCTCCTCCGTTCAGCCCTATGTTGTAGAGAATGCTTAGCGAAAATCTATATGTATTATTATGACACATTGGATATTGCCGTACGGAGTACTCAGTAGAACACTCCTTTTACGCCATTTTACGAGTTTTATATGAGTCTTACATTGAAAATTGGGTCTAACGTGGATCCACGCGGACTATATGTCCCGACCCCCGACCTCCGAGCCCGACGCATAAATAGTTGGAGATATCGGCGATTAGGAGCCTAGCCCCGATGGCTTTTTGCTCGGTTTGCACCGTTTGCACCGTTTGCAATTGCACATCTATATTCATTGGTTTGAATTCAGTTTTAGTGAACAATATCGAAATTGGAGGCGTATTTTAGTTGGGGACCCCCTACCAGCCCTCGAAATAACTGTTTATGGCACATTAGCACCACTCATCTCAATCTCCTCCTGCGCTTGTTGTGTCCATCCCTTCGGCGGTGCCTGCACCTCATAGTTCCAACCCAAGGTATCCTCCACAGTTCCTGATTGTATACCACGAAGCGTCTGCAGCAACCTAACGCAAACCTCACCACCCTCCTTCTGAGCCCCGCAACGGTACTCAAACTTATCACCACGGGACTGCATCGTAATACTACCCACCGGCACCAACGCAGCCGCCGTACCAGCAGCAATAACCTCATCGAACTCGCGCAGCTCCTCATAAGCAACCCGCCTCTTCTCCACCCGATACCCCAACGTCCGGGCAATGTCCAACACCGACGCCGCCGTAACAGAGTCAATCGCATTCCGGCTATCAGGCTGGATGACAGTGATCTGATCTCCGTCACGCTTCACTCCAATGAAAGCAGAAGTCGAGAACTCATCAACTTCAGTGCGAGTTGCACTATCCAAGTGAAGGGTAATCCCAAACCCTTCCCGTCGCGCCCGGTCACTGTGTCGCAACACAGGCGCATAATTTCCACCAACCTTCGCAGCCCCGGTTCCATGCGGTGCACAGCGATCAAAGTCCTCCAAAATCACCGCGGCAACTGCGCTAGCCCCGTGGTAGACGCCAGTTGGCATGGCAAATACAGCCAGTGTGTACCCGTCCGGCGGACTTAGTCCCAATTGCGCAGAGGAGCCGAAGAGCATGGGTCGGACATACATCGCGGCGCCGGAGTCGTGAGGTGGTACATACTCGGCGTTTGCACCAACTGCTAACCGTACGCACTGGATGAACAGATCCTCCGGAACGGGAGGGATGGAGACTACTTCGGCGGAATGCTGCATGCGCTTGGCATTGCGGTCAGGGCGGAAGATGGTTATCTTGTCGTTGGCTGGGTGGCGGAAGGCTTTAAGGCCTTCGTAGACTTGCTGACCGTAGTTTAGGCCTGGGGACATTCCATGCACAGGTATAAAGGGTGAAGCGACGAATTGCGGTGCCGACCATTTGTTCTCACCGCTATGGGAGAAGTGAATTTCGACATGGCCGTTACCTGCTATCAATGAGAATCTACTATGGGTTTATTTAAGGACAATTGCTTACCATCCCGGACTTTAAATCCTATGTTATTCCAATCGAGGGCAATGGGTGGTGGGGGGAACATGATGAGGAAGTGTGGAGTTACTAAATTAATCCCCACAGCCCTGGAGGGGGTGAACGGCTATTTATAACAGGAGCTTCTTAAACTTTTCCAACTGGCTGACTTTGCTGACTTTGCTGACTAAATATCAGAATCAGCACCCACGTAATGGACGGGCAAGTCGCTGTAGGATTGCATCTGTTGACTGCGTCCAAAGGCCGTCACTAAACACACTTTCAGTCTGCCTGGGACCTCGTGTTGCGAGAACTTCTGGTACAAGTCGGCAATGTTCTCAAAGTCATCCACATACGTGAACAGCCATGCCGTATCGAGTTTCCCTTGGACCACCAGATCCATCAAGAACGGATAATACTACGTATAGTAAGTAAGCCATTGATTCAAATTGGAAGGAAAAGAAGACAGAAGACAACCTACCTTTTGTGGCCACGTTTGACCCCCGCGCAATGTCAGCGCTTTCTGCATCAAAGGCCCAATCGGGAAATTATGCGTTGTGAAGAAGAAATCCCCCACCAATGCCACATTACCACCCTTACGGGTTGCCTTGATGATCGCCGATAACGTATCACTACTATCCCTTTCGAGCCCAATCGCCTGCATAGCCGGAAATTCAGCTTTCTGCGAACTATGGTACCCACTTGCCTCAATAGACCGATCAAGGCCATGATCCTCAATCGACATAATGTACTCCGCCACATCAGGATGAGCATCGACATCAACAGGAGTCATTCCAAAATCCCCGGCAATCCGTAGTCGCTGCGCATCCTTATCCATAGCATAGATCTTCCTCGCCCCGCGGAGCCTCGCTAGTCGCTGCGTAGCAAGACCAATAGGCCCACAACCCCATACACCCAGCACATCACCTTCCTGCACCTCAGCCAACTCCAGCGCATGCCAAGCGGTAGTAACGACGTTTGTCAGGCCTAGTAATTTCCGCGCATCCATATGTTCCGGCGCCTTGACACACGACAAGTCCGCATGTGGCACGCGGCAGTACTCCGCCTGGTCACCTGGATACCCGCCACAAACACGACTGTATCCCAGCTTCCCGCCGAGTCGGTGGCCATATGTGGCTTCCATTTCCCTGGATGGATTTGTGTTGTCACAGAGCGAGTACTCCTGTCGCTGGCAATAATCGCAGGTACCGCACGAAATGACGGGTAGGATTATGACCCGATCACCGGGTTGGATGGATTTGACATTCGGTCCGACTTCTTCGACAAGGCCGATGGCTTCTTGGCCTAGGATGTCACCTTTTTCCATTGCGTCTTTCAGCTCGCCTTCGTATAGATGGATGTCTGAACCGGAGATCGTGCAGTGGGTTATTTGGACGATGGCATCTTCGGGCTCTGTAATCATGGGCTTGGGTACGACTCCCACTTCGACTTTTCCGGTGCCCATCCATTGTGCTGCCTTCATCATTTTGGTGGGATGCGGCGTGTATCCCGTGCTGCGTTATATTAGAGTGAGAGACTGTGCGGTGGCAATACTTACCTGGGCATCACGGCCGCCATTGTTGGGAGTAGTCTGTTCGATCACCAACGCAAATGAACAGTTGAAATGAGTATGTATTCAGGGGACTGGTCGACGAACTGTTTATGCTGGCGATGTGCAATCGTTTGCTCCAATTGGAGCAATGGCAAAATAATATCAAGATGATGCCATCAGATAGAATCACCCCATAACCGAGTGGCCAGAAAGCCATAGAATTGTCATGGATGGTCATGGATGGTCATCGGATTTGTCGGTCCTATAGTTTTGCAGAACAAACGTCCGAGCCGGAACTTAAGGCCGGCTACTATCACGCAACAGCTGAGGCACACATGTAAATATCATAACAGAGTTGATATGTGCTGCTTTATAAAAATACTAAATCCAACATTCAGCATTCTAATACAGCAGTTCGGTGTCTCTGATCTCAACTGGGTTCAACCGCACTACTTGAAATGAAAAAAATACGATTCATGTTCAGCATGGACTCAATATCATACACTGATGAAAACACTGTACAGGATCATGTCGATGTTGATAGGGATAACAAAGGAACGCATGGTATGCATGAAAAAGAAAAAATTGGATATCTTAAAAAGCAAAACGTGTATGTTAACTGGATCGCGGAGCCCAGGGCTTGCGCAGTTTGGCTGACTGGCCATCGGGCATTATGTCGCCCGAGTCACTGTCACTCTTGCTACCGTCGTCACTGCTAGAGTCAGAGTCAGACTCGCCCGAGTCGGAGTCGGATTCGCCGGAGCTGGGCACTTCGTACACATCGCTGCGGGGAGCCGGGGCAGACTTGGGCTCAGGTCGCATCTTAGCAGCCAATTCCTCCTTCTGGCTGGACAGCATGCTCTTCAGGGTTAGCTTTGGTGTTTTTGCGGCAGGTTCCCGAGGGGTGGACCTTTCCACCTCCAGCCTCTGTTCACAGGCTTTCAGATCGCCTCGCAAGCCTTCGAGCTTGACGCGGAGCGGCTTTCGCTTCCTGTATTCGAGCCTAGAGTTGGCCAATTTGCCCAAGAGGGTTTGCATCTCAGTTAAAATGATCGTAAGCTGGGGATCATAGTTTTCCCGAAGCTTGTGTTCGATTTCAGACCTCTCGACGGCTTCCTTGTCCTTTTGTGCTTTCTCATCCTGCATAATCTGTGCCTTCGTCTTCTTTTCAGTCTCAATTTGCTGAGTCAACTGTTGGATATCAAAGCCCGGTGGGTAGACCACTTGACTACTAGATGGTGTTGCCTGAGCATGTTCGGAAGTAGATTTGGGTGTTTGCTTATTGACCTTTGCCTTAGGCGCGTCTTTGCTAGATGTGGAGGTTGAAGACGTTGGCATGGTAGACTTGACAGCGGGGGTGGGCGTCTGCTGAGGAGGCTTGCCCTTGGGCCTGGCCTTTCGTGGGGTTGCGCTCGAAGGTGTCCCCTGGATAGAGTTGGTGGCAGGAACAGACGTGCTAATCGCAGTACTACCCGGGGTGGATCGTGGAGCGATATCCAAGCTAGAAGCAAGGCTCTCTCCCTCGGCGAAAGACACGGATCGCCTCTCCGTTGCCGGGGAATCCTTGGCCCGGATGGCAGATTGCAGCTTTTTTGTTCTGTCAATCGCAGGAGTTTGTTTGTTCACAGAAGTAAAAGAAAGCGCATTAGCAGCATTCACGTTGCTACTTGGGAAAAGTGGTGCACCAAAGGAATCTTGGGTTGATGTTACCTCGGATTGTTGCGAAAGATCCAACCTAGCCGGCTGGTTACTAGGAGGGCTTCGTGTAATCCCTAAACCGATTCCAAACTGAGGAGGTCTGGGGGGGCGCTTCGTTCTCCTCTCGAACACTGGCTTGTCGAGCTGGGCTCGAGAAGGAAGGTGCACGGACTCGTTTTCGCGGTGGACTCGTTTGGGCAGACGGGGACTTCGATATGGACTGCCGATCCCGTTGAGATGGCACAACGACCGCAGGCACCAATCGAGGAGGTGTAGATGGGGGGCGGGTCGAGGGATGGTCCTGTCCCTGACGAGCTTCTTTGACCGACGTGGGCTCTTCGGAGGCCTGCTTCCGCTTGCGTGATTGAGTCTCGTGGTTTATACCGTTTGTTTGCGAGATCGAAAAACCCGGGTGATCTGAGGACTGGGGGCTCCTAGTTCCAATGGGCTCTTCCATTTGTACATCGCCCTCTAAATCAATCACATCTCCAGTAATGGGAATCGAGTGATCAACGCGAGGCGTGATGGGCTCATCCTTGGGTCCATTCTCTTCGCTAGCGCTAGCGTCAGAGTCCGATTCGGACTCAGACTCAGACTCAGACTCGGATTCGGATTCGGATTCGGATTCGGATTCAGAGTCGGAGCCGTCGGAGTTGTCAGAACCACTCTGATCGTCTGTTTTTCTTTGATCGTGCTCAGCGTTCTTCTTCTCCGCTTCAACCTCGTCGTCGTCACTGTCGCTTTCTTCTTCGCTCGACTCCTCACTGGAGATCCCGATGGCCGTTTCCACTTGCTTTTTCTGCGGGGGTTGGGATACAATTTTAGCAGCTACTGCCGCCAGATGTCCTTGTCCGTTGACTCCATTCGTCATGCCCGGCTTGAATGGTATTTTCACGATACGCCGGGGAGCAGACTCTGGTTCAATATCACTTGAGCTCGCAGTAGCCTCCTCGGTAGATTGCATCTGTTGGTGGGGAATGGTATGTTTGGGCGCAGAGGACGTAGGGAGGGATTCGGCGTCATCTGGCATTTGCGTAATTGTTCGCTTGGCTGTACTACTCGCAATGGGTAGCTTTACGAGGTTGCGCGCCTCAGGCTGCGGTTCCGGCGACTCGGCAGTTACAGATGCGGGTGTCGGTTGTGACCTGGTGCTGGATGCTCGTCGTCCGGCTGGTGATGGAGACTCGCCAAGCTCCTCACTTTCGCGTCTGGGGGGCGGTGTGCCAGCAATTGTAGGACCCGCAGAGTTCACTGGGGGGGGAATGGCGACGGGGTCGCGAATTTCAACAGAAGAGAGAGGTAAATCACGATGGCGGTGTTCCACTGATGACTTCCGAGATGAGACATGATGGTTATTATCGGTAGGCCGAGGCGATTCAGGCGAATGTTCCCATTGGATGTGAGACTTAGAGATAGATCGAGAGTGACTACGCACAGATTGGGCGCTGCTCTCTTCATCTTCTTCTTGAATCGCGGGGAATTGGGTCTCCATGGCTTCCTTTTTGACCTTCATAGCACGCTTGCGCTCGTGAGCAACAATAGCAGCATCCCAATCCTGATCGACAGAAGGGAATCGCTCCGGGGCGGCCTCGGTAGGCCTTTGAAGAACACGAACGGAGCCTTGCTGGTCAAGGCCATCGGTACGGGCTTTTCCATAGTCAACCCAGACATCAGCAACAGTCAAGTTGGTACAAAGATCGAGGTCCTCCTTCGTATCGTCGAGGATTTTCTTGATCGCCAGCGGTCTATCAATTAGCAGGGTTAGCAATCACAGTATCCTAGAACAGGTGAGTTTCTCATCTGTCAAGTATACGAATACTTACTCTAGCTCTGGGTGAAGATTTGCCCATGTTTCTTTAATCATGCCCGCGAGACCACCAAGCAAAACCTCTTCGGGATGTTCAAGGACAAGCAAGAAGAAACCAGGTTTCTTCATTGTCGTCGAGACTGCAGATCCCTGGCTTCTGTCATCGTTGGTGGTGCCCCAGCTGGAGTTCGAGTTGGAGCTCAGCTGCTCCCGCGGATAGACTTTGATTGAAAGTCGGAGGAATACCATTGCGTCTAAAATATGCCGTGAATTCGCAAGCAGCTGATGGTATTTGGAGCAATGACGCGAACTGGGGGAAAAGGTGAGGTGAGGACAGTCGCTGGTAAAAACCGGTAGAGCTGGCGTGGAACTGGAATTACTCGTGGGGAGGAAATTAAGATAATAAATATGAATTTAACAGAGACGCATGCTTTGTCAAACAGACAACGTACCAAACACCAAACGGAGTGGTGCAGGGTAGGTGGGTGAAAGAGAAAAAAAAACGGTGCAAAACGCGGAAGATACACGCGGAAGAAACACGGAAGAAACTGGCGCGAAGTAATCACGTCGGCGATCCACTTATCTACCAATGTCTAACTACAACATATGAGACACATCTGCTCATATAAGTGAGGAAAAGAAAATAATCTATTTATGCTGTTTTATTCCTGCTTGGATCTTATGAAAATGGGCTGATATTCTAAAATTCCAGTTCCTAGGCAGTTAGATAAAATGCAAAAGACCATTGACCATTGCTGACCTTGGAAACCTTCGGTATATATACAGATAAGGTAAATGCTGTGGAGTATTTTCATATATGACTTCCAAAAAAATGTCCCTGGACACAGATCTATTCGGGTGGGACAAAATACCTCCTGAAGCGATCATTGCGAGTCAAATCCAGCTCAACAACGACCGCATGACAGCTCATCAACAAGCTGGGGAACCTGTATGTCCAGAAATTGAGATATCCCTCGGGCAAGCCGCCAATGTTATCCTTAAGATGATCAGGCATGTCATTGTAGTGATTGCGCTTGTTGCGAAGAGCCCTCAAGAGATCCAGCATTCGTCCTCCGGTGTACTTGCGCTGCTTACCGAGATTGTCTTTAAAGTCTCGTGGCAATGAGCGTAGGAAATCCATTTCAGGACCCATTACCCGCTCAGCCACTGATTCCAGGCAAAGCAGCGAGTCCGATGGAGGCTCGCGGGGCTCGAATTCGAAGTGGTCGGATACATCGCAGAGGAAGGTCAGACGGTCTGATGGAGGCCAGAAGAATGGGTGCATCAATACAGCGCTTGCATCAGGACTAGAGATTCATGTCAGTAAATTGAATGTGTTTCTACAAAGAACGATGCTTACCGTTGGCGAGGGTCTAGAGACAGCATCGAGCGGATCAGATCATCCGCCTCAAAAGCGTAGTCGCCTAGGCGATTTAATTCCTCCAAATCGAAGTGGCCTTTGACAATGTTCGCCTCGCGCATAAACTTGCCATTCTTGTCGAATGGATGACTGCCATGGGTCAAGACGTAGTAGAACACACAACCCAGTGAGAAGATGTCAATGGCCCTAGTAGCGCGGCGGTTTGTCTGCGGGTCCACCACAGCGGGCTCCGAGGACTCGGTGTGCTGCGATGCGAGAGACATAGGACCGTCATCATCCACGAGGAGTTCAGGAGCACGCCAGCCCGAAGTTCCAGCGGCATGGGCGGTGGTTGCCCGGAACGAGCTTTGGTTGTCTTCAAGCTTCTTGCACAGGCCAAAATCGGAGATAAGGAGTCGCAATGACCGCAAAACACTGCGGCCACGCGGCATAGCGACGAGAATGTTCTGCGGCTTCAAATCACGGTGGACGATCTTCAAAGAGTGCAGGTAACGGACACCCTGGGTGATCTGCCGTAGTACGTCGGGCAGATCTAGGCCGGTTTGGACTAGTTCCGGGTAGCTGATGGGCCGCTCAATCACATCCTGAAGAGATGCTGGACAAAGTTCGAGGCCAATATACAAGAACCCGGTGGCTTGCTCACGACAGAAGTATCGGATCACGTTATGGTGGTCATCACTTTCCTGCAATAGGCCCACCTCGTGGGATGCAATGTCATAGAATTCCATCAACATACGCTTGACCGCAACATCTCTTCCATCGAACGAACCGCGGTAAACAACGGTGCCATGGCTGCCATGTCCAAGCACAACATCAGTGAAAACCTGAAGCCGGCCGATACGAACAACGCCATCCATCTCCATAATCTCGTTCGAAACCGTCCGCACCATCTGAACATCGTGCTCAAGTCGAGGCGGGGGGGGCTAGGTTATTGGCCTGCTCCACGACCTGATCAGCTCCTTCGGGGCTATCACCCTCACTGCCAGGCTTCTTGCGGCGGCGATGAGACTTTCCTCCCCGAGAGCCACGAGCGCGGGGCTTTTTCTTTGGTTTTCCAGCCTCGTCGGCGTCCTCGTCATCAGGCCCACGTGACGGCTCACGAATCTGCACCCGCGGTGTGGAGTCTGAGGCGTGGTCTCGCGAGGCACGCGGGGTTGATCCACCATCTGGTGACGCATCGTCCAAGTCTAAACTTACCGTGACATTAGGAACTTGTTGAGTTGGCGTAGATGCACGCTTGATATCCGGGGCACCGCCGACAACAGGCGTGGAAGGGGTCGAGAGAGAAGGCTTATCGTTTGAGTTGATGATATTCTTGATGTCCAATTTTTGCTTAGCCAAATCGCGAAGGTGGTGCGAGTTGAAGTAGATGAATGTACAGACGAACAGTAAAATCAACGTCACGACAATATCCAAAGCATTGTCCCAGCTCTTGCGGATTATGGCGCTATTTCGCAAGGCGGGAGGCAAAGCCAGCTCAGAAGGACTACGAAGGATATCTCGTGGTGTGTCATTTGAGAGTTCCGAAGTTGACGACCCGGCGATTCTAGGAATATGCGGACGGATGATCCGAGGGCCAGTGAGAGAGTGAACACCGGCCAATGCATTCCGCTGTTGACGGGCAGACAGACTCATAAGTGCTTGCCCCTGGCGGAAGAAGTCTTTGTCATAGCATTGAGCCATTGGGGCGCGACCGGTGGCCAGGGGATAGGTTTCCTCTGAAAAGGCGTACCAGCCCCCTGCCTCGGTGCAATCGATGAATACGCGCATGTCCCTTTCATCGCCAAGAGATCCATAATCCGGATCTGGTGGCTGAAGAGGTTGTGAGAGCAGGACCAGCGGGGTCGAGGCTTCTGGTGCATCTTTGTTGTTAGGACGAACCACGTCAAAGACTCGCGCCACAGGGGATGAAAAGCGCTGGGTATAGCGGGGCCGATCCATGCGTGAGTGATCGAATCCCAGCACAACACCATCATGCATACTGTAAATGTGGCTTTCATCCATTGTCCTGTAGTACTGGCTCTGTAGGTCCATATCACGGTTGTTTGGTGCCCACTCGGAGTATTTCAGGGTGCAAATTGGATCTCCCGTCTCCGTATTTTGTATGGCGACGGCATATTCAACCCGACCAAGAACCAAAGTACCAGATGTCGATTCGCACTCATCGGAGTCCAAATCTTCTCCGTTCACCTTCCGGCATTCCGGTGCAGCGGTAATCGAACCACGGGAACTAAACACTCGCAAAATGCTGCCAGTCCGGGCATCAATGGTGTACAATGTAGTTTCTTTCCGGGCGGTATAGGTCACAGCGGGCTCGGTGCCGGAATAAGGGGTTTCGTCAACAAGCTGCTTCACAGTTAATCCGAGCTTTTGCAAGCCGGCGTCTGGAGCGGGGCTGTATATATATAGGCTGCCATCTTGGCTCGGTTCGACGATCCATAAGAAGTCGTCTTCGGGCTGTGTATCGTCAAAACTGGAACGATTCGCTCGGTGGTAGATGCTTTCGACCACAGGACTACTCGGGACCTCGAGGGCCCAGCGAGCAGTCCCGGTCTTCCGATCACGGGCGTGAATCGTTCCGTCGACGGTCGCCAGCAGCACAAAATCCTCAACCTCCCAGTCCTGCAAGGACCGCGCGTGAAGCTGCGAAGCCAAGCCCGCAGATGTGCTGCTGGCTTGGACAGGAGGGGCTCGAACGGCACGGCCGGAGCCTGCCAGAGCCAGAGTAGCAAGGGCGCTCGCATCGTTGGGTTTCACGATGAATGGTGCGGCCACATGGGCCGCATGTTGTTTTGATGACTCTTGTGCTGGTGGCACAGAGACTTGGGAAATAGGGTCATGGGCATCTGATTGCTGCAGCGGAGCAACCAGAGTTGGGAGAAGGAGGAGTGCGACACTGGCGGGCAGTGTCGAACGGACGCCCGGCAGCCGCCACCGCATTGTGGAGCTGTCAGCACAAAGATTCAAGGGTAGGTGAACGATCGAAGGAACGAAGGAGGTAGTGGAGGGCGTCGCATGGGCCGATGTTGAAATGGGACAAAGGTTTAACGGTTCGATTGAAAGTGTGGAGCGAGTCGAGAATCCGGGTGGCTGAACATCCCCCAACCCACAAATGATTCAAAATGAAAAACAGCAGGAAATTCACCTGTAGTCTAATAATAATGCAAGATGAAGAGATGGAGAGAATGTCAGAATGTAAGAGATGAAAGAGATGAGACTGGAGAGCATATGTGCAGGCAGAGAGATTGTGTGTAATACACGTGTACAATACAGTCTGTGACCGGTTTTTAGCGCCTCCAGAGCTGTAACAGTAATGTATGATACTTTCGTCCACGCACGCCTTCGATCTACACTCAATACAGCATAGCCTAGAACAATAAGAACATTCGAGAGTGTCTTATCCCTTATCCCCTTAATATACTCTCCATGCATGTATCTATACGCAGTGAACTAGTTGACTACAATTGTTATATGCTTATAGACATGTAACCTAATTTACCCCTCTGTTTTAATACACACAGTCATCATTGGACATTCTCTACATAGTCACACCATGATTGATCACCTTAGACGAGTCTTTCTCGGTGGATCTTTCAATGCTGATCATAAAGACTGAACCCCCAGCCTTTCAGAAGGGTGGATCAACCTTGGAAGTGCTGCCCTGCCCGGCGTCAGGGGCAAGACCAATCAAGGGCGACACAACACACTATGAAAAAGAAAAAAAATTTGAAGTCTATTATCACCAAATATTTTTTTCTTTTTTATAAAAAAAAAAAAGAACTATGTAGATTATTAAAGCAACACATCCAAAGCCACAATCCCTTCCTCGTGAAGTACACGCCGGAAGTGTCAGTGAAGGGGAGGGACAAAAAGTTAAAAAAAAAAAGAGAAGGGAAACCCTAAGAGAAATCAAGATAGATACAGATGTAGGAGGATGTTGCCACAGAAGCATGTGGAGAGAAAGGGATTATAAAAAAAAAAGGATCACGTATGATCCCAAGAAAGACAAGAGGTAGATATGAAACGGGAGATGACCTTACCCACCGCGGATCATCCAGGTCACGGCAACAGCCCAACCACTGACAAAGATGACTGTCAAGACGCCTGCACCTGCACGGTCACCGGTACCGATGGTGTTCAATACTGGAACTTTGTTGTCCGATGTATTGGTGCCGGCGTTCGGGTTACTCTTGGAGGTTCCACCCGAGGATGAAGTCACTGGTGCCTTGTTCATGAAGGGAACCAGATTGGCAGACAGGACACCCAACACAGACATCTGTTGCTCCAGACCTTTGGTCCCATCCCAGGTGGCTTGCTTCCACCAGCGAGTACCACAATATGTACCGTCGTCACCACCCGAGCATTGCTTTGCAGCGGCTTGGGCCGAGGTTTTCAGCTGGGGAAAGATCAGGTCGGAGGTGCCAGGAACGATTGTAGTCAACATTCCAAGCCAGTTGGTAAAATAGGCCTTGAAGGTGAGCTGGTTGCGATCGCAGTTACCGCCGTATTCGCAGGTGATATCCGATAGAATTTTTCCGCCGGCTCCATTAAATCCCGTGGTCGGGTAGAACTGTTGAGAGGTCTTAATGAGACCCTCGACACCCTCCTTCCATTTTGTTTCAGTGCCATTAGTCTAGTCCGGAGTTAGTATCAGCCCTCATTTGACAGAACAGAAGGACATACGTAGTTGTGCATGTAGGCAGCACCACTGATATAGGTGGCGTAGTTGTAGGTCCATTGGAAATCGCCATGATCCGTGCACTGCGTGCCGCAGGTGGTGGTGTCGGCGATGTTCCAGTTCTTCTGCTTAAGCAGCGGGGTTGTAGCACTCCAATCCCAAATACGCTCGGCCCAGTCGGCATATGTCTTGTTTCCAGTGTAAAGGGCGAGGCGAGCCGAAAGTTGAAACAGTCCTCCGTTTGAAATCGCGTTCTTTGTCAGGTAACCATCCTGGTACGGCCAAATCTGCCAGCGCATACCACCGTGGCAGCTACTGGTATCCCAGCGGGGGTACTGGGTGTTGAAGACACCCTGTGCGAGGGATACCCAGGAGGGTTCGCCGTCTCTTTCGGGGTAGTTGAATTCCGCGGCGGTAATAGCAGCGAGACCCCAAAAGACTTGATCGTCGTTTCCCAGGTACTGACTGTAGTTGCTGGGGAAGAAATTGTTGTCGCCCTTCTGAAAGTACATTCCTTCTTGAATAGCGTCGTTGAACTGATCATCACCGGTTACGAACCAGTATAGGATAAGGGTCATGAACATGGAACCACCCTCCCACCAAGTGCCATCGAATTTACCGGGGATGTCCTTGGACTCGCGAGAGTCGTAGAACTTCATCATGGTGGTGGCGACCGTTTTAGCCGCGCTTTTGATGGAGCCTAAGAGAAGCACTGAATTAGCCAACGAATGCGATCGACCAGGGGGGGAGCGTACTCTCGTCATCGATGTCCAACTCAATAGCGAGGGCACCCTGGACGGCGAACGCGCCGCCCAGCAGAGTGGCAAGCCACTTAGACAAAATCATGTGTGGAATCTCAAACGAGTGTAAGAGCCAGCGGCATAAGGGAGTTGGATAAAGGGAATAGAAGTTTGGAGAGAAGGTAAAGTGGCTAAGAAAAGATGACGGGGGTCTGGGGGTAACCGGCAAATGGGGGGTTACAGTCCCTGGTACAGTGGGCTGTCTCCGTCTCTAAGAATGCTAAGCTAATTTAGCGCATCAAGCTGCATGATATTCTGTATATTTTTTATAATAGGAAAATCTACATATCTCTCCTTCTTCTTTTTTATTAACAGGTACTCGCTAGATTGCTAGAGTGCTAATATATTGCCCCGAAAATTACAGCGACAACGGTTAGACTGAGTTCCTGGCTGCAAATCTCGCCCTGCAGTAGAGAAATGAAACCTCGGCATAAACGCTGAGACACCCAACTTCTATACCTTCAAAGTACATCATATATTGTCCAGGCAATGCCGATCAGATCCGTTGCCCACTTATTATCCACGAGATGGGAATGTGATCGTCATGTCAGAATCCAAGAACATATGATGGACAGAGCATATTATGACTGTTACTATATCTATGCAAGTGAGAATATTATAATAGTATATTACTAGTTACCCAGAATCAAAAACTACCTAGGTACATATGGAGTACCCTGAATATAAACATCTATCCTGTTGCCTTGGCTGTGCCTTGGCTAGGCTAAGCTTTCAAACTCAGTGACCGCTTCCGGCAGTTCAACATCTTCCGCTTTGGGAGATGTTGATGCCTTATTGTTCAGGTACCAAGGGTCTGTCCCAAGTCATCACGTGTTGTGTTCTAGATAACTATATGCTCCAAGGTACATTGACAATGCCCCATAAGATACCAAGAATATTTCAATGATTTCAATGCAGGTATTACAGGTGGTTGTCACTTCTCATCCATCCATCACTCTATCCATGTCCTACCTACAACATACATATGTACCGTGTGTAAGATCCCTAACTAGTTAACTATAACTAGTTAACATGAAGGTAAAGTAACGATGTCATGGATTATAATGATTGAATCTGGATAAAAATCTCTACAGATCCAAGTCCTGTTATATGAATTATGTCTAATATCGGGTCTTCGCGCCAGATCCTTTTGCCTAGGGATCTAGACCCCGGAAGAAAGCTCAAGACCATGCACACATAGTACATTAATACCAGACTATACAATGAATTTTGTGGCTGGGGGGTATATATAGGGTAACCGATACCATAGGACACAGCTGATAACTAGTGGACCCTATGTATCGTATCTACTTGGCAGACTACACAAATGACTAGATGGATAGATCATGTACTTAGTTGAACTTCTATTGCACATTTTTTAGTTCCTTCATAGAAAGAGTACAGAGATGAATTCATCCATGTCATCACAATCGTGTCCATTACATCCGGTTGCGTTGGCGGGGAGCCGAACGGATGATGTTGTCCACCCGCAGAAGAAGCTAAAAGAAAGTCAGCGCGTGTCCCAAATTGAATATCAAGAATCAAGAACAGTGAAGTACATACCTCGGCTGCCTCTGAGGCAGACGAAACCACCGCCTTCTTCAACTTATAAGCCTCCACCACACCAAGCTCACGCATATCCGCAATACCACCACCGGGCGTCAACAGATCAAGGCCAGAGCTGGTCATACCGTTGTTGATGGCAGAGCGCAGACGAGTCACCAGATCGCTGGAGTCCAGACCGGCGTTGTCGGCCAGAATGGTAGGCAGCTGCTTCAGAGCGTGAGAGAAAGAGTCGACAGCAAGCTGCTTCTTGCCGGTCGTGTTCTGAGCCGCCTGTTCCACGGCCTTGGACATCACCATCTCGGCAGAGCCACCGCCAAGTGTCACACGGGGATCCTTAACAGTCTGCGAGAGGACGGCCAGAGCATCGTGGAGCGAACGCTCGGCCTCATCGAGAAGCTGCTCGGTGGCACCGCGCAGCACAATGGTGCAGGCCTGACCAGCGGCCACACCAGAGAACTTGATCAGGGTGTCCTCACCAATAATCACTTCCTCGATCAGATCACACCCACCAAGCTTAACCTGGTCGGGGTGGTCGAAGGTGGAGGCGATCTCACCACCGGTAACAAGGGCCAGGCGCTCGATGCCGTCGAAATCGGCATGTTCGATGGACATGATACCGGCCTCAGTGAACAGCTGCTCGGGCCAGTTGTAGATGAGCTGACGGTTAACGAAGCAGTTAATACCGTGAGACTTGATACGCTCAACCTTTTGGCGCATCTTCTCGCGCTCTGCCTTCTCCAACTCGGCGAGCTTGCCGGTCGACTCGACCTTGACTCGTGCACCGAAAATCTTGACCTTATCTGTGTCCATTGCTGTGTTGGCAACCAGGATCTTGGCGTTCTCCAACCGCTTGGGCTGGTTGACACCGACCTTCTTGTCCATAATGAAACCCTCATCGAGGTATGAATCGCTCAGCTTTCCACCGGCCTTCTTAATAACCTGGATGTGAGAAAGATCGGTGGATCCCTTGAGACGAAGCACGGCATCACAGGCCAACTTGGCGAACTGGTCTCGGTCTTGCGAAAGAACCTTCGAGCTGAGTGTTGTGCGAGCAATGGCGTGCAAGTCCTTGCGGAAAGCCTCGGGGTCCTGGCTGCGGTCGACTGCGGTAGCCTCGAGAGCGGCGAGGGCAGCCTTGCTAGCTATCCGATAACCTTCGATGATAGTCTGGGGGTGAATCTTCTTGGCAACAAGGTGTTCGGCCTCACGCAGCAACTCGGCGGCCAAAACGGTGACCGATGTGGTTCCATCACCAACCTCGTCGTCCTGAACCTTAGAGATGTTGACCAAAACCTTAGCCGCAGCGTTATCCAAAGCGATGGACTTAAGAATCGTAGCACCGTCGTTCGTCACCAGGATTTCTCCTGTAGACCTGCGAGCACAGCCATGTCAGTATTTCCGGGGTCATATCATCACATAGGATTATCGATCACTCCCCCACGTACGCAGATTGTAGAATTTTATCCATTCCCTTGGGACCAAGGGTACTCTTCACGAGGTCTCCAACGGCGATAGCACCGACGAAGGCTGAGAGACGGGCATTCTCGCCCTTCTCTTCAATGACATCGTCACCAAAGATCTGTGTGGGATTGCCGAAAGATGCCTAGGAGGGGTAGAGGTGAGCCAGTGCGAACACAAATTTTCCACGCTCTCGCGGGCCGACTTGGGAAATAGCATACCATGATGACCAGCTGAATAAGGCAATCGACCAAAGATCAAATGCTTGCTGGAGAGGTTGAATCGACTTCTCCTGTCAACAGTGGGGTGGGAAAGGAGAAAAGTTGCCGCACGATTGGTCTGAGCTTCTGATTGGCTGTACTCCATCACCGCCCGCGCTGCCTCTCGACGTTTGCTTTCTGTCGTGACGATCCCTTTCGCTGGAATTCACGTTGTTTCTGTCAATATTGACAATGGTTGACTCCGGGGAACTCGCTCAGGCTCCCGCAAACAAGCGGCCTCACTCTGCTGTCGAGGCCGAGAACAGTGCGTCCCATGCATCGTGGACACCCATCCAGACCGCTCCCTCGAACGGAACGGAATAGATACTAACTATATGCGATTGCCAGGTGATGACTCTTCCGACGATGACTTCGGCCCTGCGCTGCCCTCGGAGGTCGCTCCCAAGAAGAAGCGGCGTAAGCTTCCCTTCGAGAAAGTCTACATCAATGCGCTACCAGTCTCCGCACGGTACTCCAAGTCACTTATGCACAAGGACCAATTGTCGTTTGTGACTGTTGCGCCCTATACGGACTTTGTGATAACTTCCTCCGTCGATGGATATGTTAAGTTCTGGAAAAAGATGGCAGAAGGCATCGAGTTCGTGAAGGAGTTCCTTGCTCACCCAGGCGAGATTCGGGGTGTAACTGTCAGCGCGGACGGTCGCAGTTTCGCGACAGCGGGATTGGACAAGACGGTGAAGATCTTTGATGTTATTACATTTGGTATGTTCGAAATGTATAAGTCTCGTGGTTTAGTGGCTTACTGACATTAATAGATCTATTGGCGATGTATACCCTGGACTTCGTTCCTCGATGTGTTTGCTGGGTACACCCCCGTGGTGCCTCGCTCCCCCTGCTAGCCGTGACAGACGAGTCAAGTAATACCATTCAAGTATTCGACGGACGTGGCGAAAATCCTCAGCCATTGCACACTTTGAAGTCGATCCACCGCAGTCCCGTGGTCTCACTAGCATTCAACAACACCTTCGACTGCGTCGTCTCCGCCGATGAATCAGGAATGATTGAATACTGGAGAGCTGGAGATGGATCCTTCGAGAAACCTGACAATGTCTTCGAGCTCAAATCCTCAACAAATCTTTTCGCATTTAAGAAAGCCAAGTCCGTCCCGACATCCATCACAATCTCCCCAACCGGCGAGCACTTCGCCACGGTTTCCTTCCCAGACCGACAAGTCCGAGTATTCGACTTCGCAACCGGCAAGCTCTACCGCACATACGACGAATCAATAACCACTATCACGGAGATGCAGCAAGCGGGAACAGCACCGTACGAACTCGACGAAGTAGAGTTCGGGCGCCGCCTAGGTGTTGAGCGCGAACTCGAAAACGAAGCCACGCGCAACAAAGCAAGCGTTTCGTTTGACGAATCCGGCCATTTCATCCTCTACGGCTCTCTTTATGGCGTGAAATGTATCAACACCTACACAAATCGAGTCGTCCGCGTCTACGGCCGCGAAGAACCATTCCGAGCCCTCAACCTCGCATTGTACCAAGGCCAACCGCAACGCAAAGGCGTCGTAACCGTCTCAATGGCAGCCAGTAGCAACCCGCTCCTCCAAGAAGCCGAAGAGCGCGACCCGATCCTCGTCTGCACCGGCTTTGCCAAGGTGCGCTTCTACATGTTCACGAACGAAACAGATATCTCGAAACCCACCCGCGACATCCAAAACGAGAAGCCAACCCAGGCAGCGGCTGGCACCGGTACGGCAGCTACCAAAGCCGCCGAGACTGGCACTGCGGCAGTCCTGCACACGACCTTGGGCGACATCCACCTGCGCTTGTATCCCTCGGCTGCGCCACGGGCCGTGGAGAACTTTGTCACACATTCCCGGAATGGCTATTACAATAACACGATCTTCCACCGTGTGATCCGAAAGTTCATGATCCAAGGTGGTGACCCGCAAGGTGATGGGACAGGAGGTGAGTCCATTTGGGGCGGGGAATTTGCCGACGAGTTCTCCGTTCTCAAGCACGATAAGCCGTATACGCTGTCGATGGCCAACGCGGGACCCAATACAAATGCTAGTCAGTTCTTCATTACTACGGAGAAGACGCCGTGGCTGGATAATAAGCACACTGTCTTTGGGCGTGCAGTGCAGGGCTTGGATGTCGTGCATAAGATTGAAAATGTGCGGGCGCATAAGGAGAAACCGGAAGTTGATATCAAGATTGTTAGTATTAGTATCTCGTGATATGTACCAACCTCGGGTAGAATGGAGAGGCATTCCAAAAGATGTATATAAGGAATCATGAATTGCGCGCATGCGTTGTACTATGTACTCTTGTCACTTGCTCAGACAGATTGAAAAGAAATGGCGAATATGACGATTAAAAAGCGAATCGACAGTTGTCAGCAGAAATCCACTCCGTCATATTTTAGGCTAAAGCCCGCGAGAACAAGGTAAGGAAAACAGATGGAGAGAGAGGAAAGAGGCGCAAGACCATCGACAAAAAAAAAAAGAACACAGCATGAAGCCCATTATCCGTACCAAACACCAAGAAATGCAACCATAGCCAGGTAATATGGTATAGAAGTAGCGCATCGCAAATAAAAAGCGAAATAGAAAAAGGGACATCAGAAACCCAAAGATCCATAAATAAGATAGTCCCAAAATAAGCCCTAAACCTGCCGAATCTCCACATCCCCAGAGGCCGGCTCAACCTTCGTCAATCGCGTCCTAGTCCCGGGGACAGGAGTGCTAGTCTTGGCCATTGTAGAGCGCGAGCTACTAGCCAGGGAATCCGCACCCAGACCGGCGGCCTGCACCGGCACCGGTGGGGCGCCGGACCAGGCGGCATCGGGCGGAACGGGCGGGGAAGCTGTGCTCAGCAAGCTGCTGCTACCGCCGTGATAGAGATTGGGCCGTTTAGCGTCATAGCGACGCTTGAGCCATACGCCGAGTACGCCGATGGCAGTGAATCCGATGGCCAGCACGATGATCATAATGACCCAGCGGTAGTGGGTACTCCACCTTTTCGGGGGTAATTTTGTTAGCGGTTGGTTTTTGGGGGTGTGGATGTAGGTAGTCTCGATCCCGAGTTGCACCGCGGTGTTTGGATCAAACGTACCATGACTTATTCTCGTCTGTGGTGGTGCCGGATTTGTTTTGGGTTGCGCTTGAGCTGGAACCAGTTGCGCCTGCGGCTGCTGTGGTTGTTGTGGCAGCGGTGTTGGATGTATCCTTGCCGCCGGAGTTGCAGTAGTTATTGTACCAGGTTGAGAGGGTGGCTTGGTCGGCGGCGTTACAGGTGGAGCAGATGCTGCCGGAGGTTTTGAGGCCGGTGAGCAGGGATGACTCGCAGAAGCATGAGGTCCAGGTGGAGGCGTCGGCTGCTTCGCAGGACGTCTGGGCGGTTGTCAGGGTGGTGCAGGTCAAACCGCACTGCGGGAATGTACTTGAGGCTGCTGTGGGGAGGATACTGTCGGCGGCTAGGGCTGAGATTGTGAGGGCGATAAGGGCGAGGAAGAGGAATGGGAGGCGCGTAGTGAGAGACATTGTGACAGTTGATGTTTTGGAGTCTGTTTGTAATGAGAGGGGGTGTAGCGAATGTGGTAGTGAGAGCCGTGAGGCTCGATTTGATGTTTAGATAAGATCTCTCAGTCCATAGTTAATCAGTCGCATAGATTAAAGAGAAAGAAGGAGTCCAAAAGACCAGAAAACGAGGAGATGAGTTTTGGGTCTAGTCGCCGAACGATTCCGGATTCGGCCTTTTTTATTTTTATTTTTATCTTTTCTTTTACCCTGTAGGGTACGGAGTACGGAGTAACTTAACGACTATTTAAGATAGTTTTATTCTTTATTTCTTTTTTAATACTTGATTGTTAGTATTTATAACTAGTTATGTTGTATAATGCATGTAGTACTGTACCTGACAGCACCGCATGCATCTTGTTAATCTCCGCAAACGGCCCATCCAACATGGAAATACCTAACATTCCGATCATTCGAGAGATTCGAGAGATTCGAGAGATTCTCTTAGCATTCTGACACCTGCCAAATTTTAAATTCCAAGATGAAATTTAAGGTCAATTTCTATCCGGAACTTACGTCGCTGGATGCAGTAAATGATTGACTCCCACGTTTTTTAAGGCTATTTTAGACTATCGCCTTGGCTGAAGATCAATACTTTCATGCAAGGAGTTAGATATATCTATAATCTACTACTCCGTACATTTGATGTACCATGTACGATGCACGATGTAGGAACAGGGTTATCCATTTTCTTACAGAATCTGTTTTGTACTCTGTCACTTATCCCAGTCCTTCATTAACTCCAAACAAGGGCCCACCATGATCGGCAGTCTAGATGGTTGAAAGAAGGCACAGAATCCGTTTCAACGTCTTGTTGAGTGGACATTATAGGATTGCACACCCTTGAACGGAGTATATTACAATCAAGATGGAATATATCTGTGGATTGCGATATTATTATCTCATGTAGAGGCTATTATGCATAACCATCACTCTTCACTGCGTACAACATACCTAGGTAGATGAATTCGCAAAATATGTTTTAGTCACTATGTGCCCTTGAATTGTCTGTGCCATGTTCAATTTCTTGACCGGATTGCTAAATATATCTATAAATAACCTGATATGGAATATAAACATCTATGGATACAATGCAGCCAATAGGTAACTATAGGGGTCTTAGCCACATACCTCGGTATGTCCCTTTTAGGTCATTTCGCCCGGTTACCTAGGTATTGACAGGTTATTATTAGTCTATGGACAATTATAGGCCGTCTACTCTGTACTCCATACGTGAAATACATAAATACGTACAGAGTAAAATGAGACCAAATAAGAAAAACAAGCAATAAGAGTCGCAGAACTAGCCCGAGTGGAAAGCCCGTCAATTGATTGGACAACTCCACCTATTCTTCCTCTTCCCCCCCGCATTCCCTTCTCCAACCCTCTCATTCTACCAATTACAGCAATCATGCCAACAATGCCCTCCCGCCAACTCCTTTCAACCCTAATAACCTCCCTCAGCAACACACGCTGGGCCCTAACCCGAACCCTCCGGAGTGAAAACCCCCTCGACCTAAACGGCGAACTCCGCGGAACCGCAACCTTCACCGCACAGCCCCCCCACTACCACCACAACCGACCGCGACTGGTTGTACTGCGAAGAAGGCGAGATACCCAGCAATGTTGGTACAGGTGCCTTACCACCAGGTCTACGATGGACAAAGAAGTACATCTGGCGTCAAGACAACGTCAGCGGACGCGTCAGTGTCTGGTTCGTGAAAGTCGCGCCGGGTCCGGAAGAAGCAGACTACCTATTCCACGACTTCGACTTTGAGTCGGGTTCGGATTCCCTGGTAGGGTCGGAGTCAGGCCCTGCGCAGAAGGATCCTGGTGAATTCGTCGCGCCGCCCGTGCCGCCCGCTGTGTCGTCCGGCAACGAGACGACCGTCCTCAATGCTAGAGGTAACCATCTCTGTATCAACGATATGTATCGCACGGCGTATGCGTTCCGCATTCAGCCTGATACCGGGGAGGTGCTTAGCTGGGCTAGTCGACATGTTGTGCGAGGCCCAAAAAAGGGACAGGACATTGTTAATCGGTACGAGAAGGAAGCATGAGATGGGATTGAAAGGATCATACAATTGCAATGCTTCTCACTCGAGGCTACGACCAGGCTCTTATGGACATCTTATATAAACCTGGGAGTCATCTACCAACCTACCAAGATCACGGTCGTGATGATGTATGTTCATTTTCCCACTATCTCGATCTGGCTCTGCTCTCCCTTCCACGCCTATCTGGCTATCCCACCGCTGCTCATAGCGTGTAAATGAAATCCGGTCTTTTGTCACCTAATAGCTCGATCTCATTCCGATCCAAGCCCTCGATCCAGTGATCGCGTTCGCCGCGTCGGCGCTTGCCGTTCTCGCGTCGCAGCAGGAGGTACTGCACCACGGATCCACCAAAGAGGAACAGGACCAGGTATCCGAGTACTACTCCATGACCGGGGTAGTATTTTGGCTTATCATCATCGCGGTAGATGTTGGATGAGACGATGCCGTTGAGGTTTCCCCAGCCGATGATAAACCCGAGGGAGACACCTCGTTTGTATACACCTAGACAGCAATGCGTTAGTCCTGGCTTTCGTCATATACATAAGATAAGAGCGGAATTCAGGTCGAAGGTTACCTTCGGTGTTGTTACTAGTCCATGAAATCGTGTTCGCAATGGCTGGGTAGATGCCCATGGCTCCGAGGAAGGTTCCTGCGTAGCGTGCACCGGCGGACTCACAGCCTAGTAGCATAGCGAATCCTATCATACCAAGGAACGAAACGGCGATATTGCAGAGACCGCGCTGTCTTGTACGGTCTGCAATGAATCCGACTGTCACTGTTAAGACGGCAGCGGCGGCATATGGCGGTACACTCAACAACTGGGCACGAATCGAGCTGTAGCCTATGGAAGCAGTTAGTAAATAGCTGCGATATACCGAGCGCGACATCCAATTATCAATATTTACCCTAGAAAACCATGTTAGCTCAACAATCTCCAAGCTCACAATATGACAACTCACTAGTTCACTGATAATAGTAGGCACGAAAAGCGAGAACGCATAAAGCGACCCATCAGCGCCCATATAAATCACAGCCCCGGTATAAGTCTTCCAATCCTTCAAACTCGACCAAAAGTACTCCATCTTAAACTCCTCATGCTCAGCACTCGACTGCTGATCCATAGCGAGTCTCCTAAGAACGCGCTTGCGATCGATATCGGACAAGAACCGCGCCTGGTCCGGGAAGTCATAGACACACCAAAACGAAGCAACACCAATGACGAACGTAAGAAGGCCTTCCAAAATGAAAATCCAAGACCAGCCCGGCTTACCGGCCACGCCGTCCATCTTCGCAATCGCTGCTGCTAGCAACCCGCCAAAGGAACCTGCGAGCGCGGCCGCGGAGAAGAAAATCGCCATTCGCACACCGAATTCCGAGCGCTTATACCAGCACGAGAGGAAATAGCCTACTCCGGGGAATAGACCGGCTTCGGATAGGCCTAGAAACCAGCGGACGGCCATTAGCCCGTTGTAATTTGTTACGAAGCCCATAAAGGTCATGCAAATTCCCTAGAATTGGTTAGAAGAATAGTAAATAGGAGGAAGGACATATTTTACTTACCCATGCCATCATAATAAGTGGGATAAATATACTCGGCCGCAACCGCTTGAGCAGGACGTTAGTCGCGGGCTCGAAGACGGAGTACGAAACGAAAAAGATAGTCAGGGTTGCATTGTATTGGGCATTTGTCATGTTCAGATCTGTTTGAAGACCGACAAGTTTCGCGTTTCCGATATTTGTGCTTGAACAAGGTAAGATTAGTTTGTGATACCCAGGTAGTGCGCGAATAATCCATGGATGCATTTGCTTACCGATCAAGGAACGAAACAAGATAAAGTAGACTGAGCCAGGGCACGAGGCGGATATCGAGTTGCCATAGTAGCTTGCGATCCTATTGTGTTTGTTTAATTGGTTATTGTGAATTCAAATAATGTTAAAATAAAGCAAATCAAGGGAATAACACACGATTGCCGCCCTTTCCTCATCACTCAATCCAGCATCAGGATCCTCAAATCCAGCAGCAGCAAGGGGGTCCTTTGAATCATGGATTTTCTCGGGATCAGAAGAGCGCGACTCAGTTCGTTTCTCAAAGGAATCTGCCATAATGTAAGATGGAGCAGATTGGCAGGGGGGATGCTCCGAAATGTACGGCTACTTTTCGCCGAACTACGAGCTATTTAAGAAGAAATAGAGAAAACTCCGATCCAAGGAAACCAAAACCCTACCGAGCACTTGGTAAAGAGGGGAAAACAAGCGAATCGCTTATATTCGGTAGAAGGATATGTCAGATTTGGTGCTAGCGTCCAGCTTAATGATGGTATCATGGCTACACGCTAGCCCGTGTATCAGCTTGGATCTGGATGCTGGGGTCCCTGGTTGATCGGCATGGATTTGAGTGGTTTCGGCATGATCGGCGTGTAAAGTGAAATCAGGTCATGGAAAGGGTTTGAACAAGAAAAAACGGGCCAACATCAATTAACATCATTATAGAGTAGCTGGTTTGGTTTGATGTTGAGTCTTAACCTCTTAACCCCCTGGATTTTAGTATATTACTATGGATGGATGTATAGTATCCATGGATAGTATAAGAGTCTGGGCATCTGGGGAAAATTAAGGCATCCCCCGCATATACCCCGGGCTCCACTAAGCGAAGCTTTCCCGTCCCCATCTACCTCATCTCAGATGTATGAATTGCCAAGTCCACAACGGCCCGCTCCTTTACATTAACACGAGAGACCTCGGTTTTGCTCAGATATTCATGTCCTTACTATGTGCACTCGGCCGAGAACACATTGGTGGTGTCGGCCGACGTGAACTATAATGAACATTGAAGGTTGATCTTCCGAAGTCCGGAGCTAGTCGAAAGTGGTACGGTTAACGCCTCATGCATTGCCCGGGTAGTCTACT